ATTGGCAAATATTTGTTTTGGATTAGTGCTGCCTCTGGTAGTGTTCTTAGTGATCTTGTTGCCGATTAGTTGAGTTGAAAGTATGTTTTTATTTTACAAGTCCCATTAGCATTGGTTGTATTTTTATCAACTTATGTGTTCTTGCATTTACCAGCTGGATCACCTGGGTTGGGGGTTAAAGGACGTATTAGTGAGAAATTGAAACTTGTTGATTTCTTGGGTGCTTCTTTATTAGTCAGTTCTCTTATGATTTTCTTGGTTGCAACTTCTTTGGGTGGTAGAGACATTGCTTACTCTTCGTTTACATTCATTGGATTGTCCCTTGGATCTTTGGCTTTGTTGGGAGGTTTTATTATTGTTGAATTGTACGTTTCTCAAGAACCAATTTTACCAATCGAATTGTTTGCCAACAGAACCGTGTTAGCATCTTCTTTGGCAAACTGGTTTTATACAATGGCTGTAATGACTACATTGTTTTATGTTCCAATTTACTACAGTTCAGTTATTGGTTTGACTGCTACAGAAAACGGTACAAGATTGATTCCAAATTTCTTTGGTGTTTCCTTTGGATCTGTTGGTGCAGGAATTTATATGAAAAAAACTGGTCGTTACTACAAGTTGGCCGTTGGTGCAGGTATTTTGGCAGTATTAGGTTGTTTTAAGATTTACATTATAACCCCACAAATTCCAGTTTGGCAACAATTTTTGTTATTGATTCCATCTGGTTTAGGGTATTCATGTATATTGACAGTCACATTACTTGCTTTGATTGCAGCTGCTCCTTTAAAATACCAAGCATGTACCACATCTATTCAGTATACTTTTAGATCAACCGGGTCTACATTAGGTGTTTCTGCTGCTACAGCAGTTTTCCAAAATATTTTACTCCATAAATTGACTTCAAGAATCAACAGTTTGATTTCTGATCCTAAAGAAGCTTCTAAAATTATTAAAAAAGCGTTGGATAACACTGAATATGCTAAAGAAGCACCAAAAATTGTTGGCGACGCCATTAAGGCATCATATGCAGATGGATGTAAAGGGGCTTTTATGTTTGCTCTTATCACCATTGCACTTGGAGCTATTTCAGCACTCTTTATGAGAGAACATAAATTACATACAAGTATCAATAGAGATTAATAGAAGCGGTTTGTATAGATTACCGCAGTATATTTCAGTACACGTATTTTTTATTTATTACTTCACCACTTATGAATCTACATTAAATTTAATATGATATTGGTGGTTCTTTCCTTGAATAACTTCAATATTTGGTGGAGATCCAGTAATGTTGTACAATGGTTCATGATTGGAATTGAATGTAGGTTCAGTTTCATCGTTTTCATTGAGATTGAAATGTGATACCCTTAATGGATGTTTTGATTTGATCTTTGGGGAAAATAAAGACACACCAATTGGAGAAGAACGAGGCAGTGGCAGTTGTAAATGATGTTGGGCACGAGCCAATGGAGTTAATAATGGACTCAAGACAGGTGACATGACTTCATCGTTTCTAATAGCTTCCTCAAGAGCATGTTCAATCACTTCTTCAATCAATTCATTTTCTGTGGTGATGTTAACATTGACTAAAACAACTGCAGCAAGGATACAAATTATACCAAACACATAAACAAAGCTAGTCTTTACTGAACTTCCAGTGGATATCAAAACTATATAGTCAATGAATATAGTTATTGGAATTACAGAAGTTAATGTCAACGACACAACCAATGGAGAAGTCAACAACATGGCCAATATAGATGAATAATCTGAGATTACAGAAAATACCCCATTTATTATGACACTGGCCAAGATCGAATTACTTGGAGGTGGAAATTCAAATTTTTCAATATCCAATACATCAATCACGTACAAGATAGGAATACCTAGAATAAACGTAATTATACCAACATATCCAAATAATCTCCTTTCATTAGTGGTTCTATTTCCTGTTCCACATTTAAATTTCATGATTAATAAATAAAACGCATACATCAATGCAGCACATAATGCTAATAAATTCCCCAATAATGGATTCTTTGGTTGAAATTTCCCTTCATTTCCAGAATTGTTACTTAAACTCACCATAAACACTCCAGCACAACTAGCAATCACACATATAGCCTTTTTGATTGAGAATTTCTCTGTTTGGATGATAACCCCAATGATCAATGTAAACATAGACGTGGTTGAACCCATAACTGTTTGATTCAGGGCTGAAGTGTATTGTAATGAAGACATTGTCAACATGTTATATAAATAATATATGACAGATATCTGTAATGCAAGAATAAATACTTCTTTATTAGTCAACTCAGAAATTTCCTCCTCCTTTTCACTAGTTATTCTATCAATCAATGACATTCCTTCATTTTCATATTCTTGTTGATTCTCTTCCGATGATGGTGATTTGCTGATATATTTCTTGAGCAAAGCAAGATCTGGAATAAGATTTATTGCAAAACATGATCCAGTAATTACCGCAAAAAGCCATGGTTTGTTATAGTCATCACCTTTCAAAACCACATTGACCAATTCTAAACCAATGATCCAAGTTGCAATGGCAATTATAAGTAGTATCACCCCTAACTTGTAGTTTTTAATCTCTTGTTCATTTATAATATCCACAACTTCATATGGATCTGCTGTAATCCTAGGTGTAATTCTTTCATATCTTGGTGATTTTATTGAAAGTAATGGCGTATTTGACATGAATAATAAATAAATTAATAGAAATTGGGAGATATTCAGAGATAAAAACAATGGAAAGCTAAATGGAAGGAAAAACAAAACCGTTGAAGATGATGTTATGAGTTATTTTTAAGAATTTTCTTTGATCTCTGATTAGTGAAATCAGTTTAGCAATTAATCATAGTCCATTTTGTGGGATCTCCTCCCCCCCATCCATGGGATTTTTTTTTTTTTTAATTTTATTCCAGTGTGTGTGGGTTTTGGGAGATAAGGGAAAATCATCAATTGATGAGAGAACTAGCGATAGATGCGCTTTATCAGCCTGAATTAGTCAAAAATTCGCGGCTAACCCCAATTCGGCCGAGTCAATCAGTAAAACCATAACAGCTTATTGCGAGCGAACTGTTTCAATTAGTAAATGCAAAACATCCCCACATTTGTGTGTATATTATAAATAAATGCCTATTTCCAACCATAGGTAGCAGCCAATCTCTTTTGCAAATGCTCTTTGGCAGTTATTGTTTGTGAATTTTTATTAGCACCTCTTCCGTCAATTTTTCTAATGATTTCACTTGGCACCGGTTCCAACAATGCATCATCATTAGGATGACTGAAAAATACAATAGAGTATCGATCTTGACCAGTTTCTTGTACTTTCTTTGGGAATTTGACACGATGAATTGTTGATTTAAGTAACCCAGCGGTCCAATAACTTAACAAGTCACCAATATTAACCACAATAGGTGGCGCCATATGGTTGTTAGTTGACGAAGCCACAAATGGTACTTGTTCCCACTTTTTAGATATTGGTGAATAAATCTCTAACCCTTCTTGATTTTCTCTTTGAAACAAGAGTGTCATAGATCCATAATCTGTATGTGCACCTGCGCGAATAACACTTTCTGGATTTAAGGATTTTTGACCTGGATAATGGAGGAATCTAAATGCAGAACCAGAAGGTAGTTCAGGAGCATACCTAGATGTAAACCAATCTTGTCCTTTAGTACTTTCAGTATCTTCAATCTCTAATGCTTGAGCAAGATAACAAAGAATTCTCACTGAGAGTTGGTATAATTTGACAATAGTTTTTGAAACTAATTCATTTCTAGATTTATCTTCAATGAACCAATCAGGAATGGGGTATCCAGATTCTCCAGTTTTAAAATTCAAATTAGCAAAATTCAAGGCTTCCTTAGGGTCACCTTTTTCTTGTCCTGATGGATCGAGGTTTTCTTTTCCAAAACTTGCGTATCCATGATTTGAAGAATTGACAGCATATTTTGATTTATATTCATTTGATAAATTGAAAAATTCCTTAGATAAGGAAAATAATTGATCTACCTCATCTTGGGTGAAATCGTGACCTTCAAGAAACAAAAAACCCTGAGTAGTAGCTGCATCAAGAAGTTCTTTAGCAACTTTGGCAGAATCACCTGAAATATCTATAATTTTGAGTGGGTTAGAGGAAGTCATTGTAGGTATGAACATGAAAAGGTAGCACTTCAGAAGAAGAGATAAAGGAGAGAAAAATAAAACGCAATTTTATTATTATTTTTTTTTGATTTTTCAGTCTCAATTATTTGACTCGTACTGCGAACAACTGAATATCATTCTATTCTTATTGTCTATTAACATTAACTACATATGACCCTAGACCTATACCTTCTTGAATGCAACTTCTTCTGGTAATTGGAAAGAAACACAGAACATTGGTTTGGTTGGTGAGACCATTCTAACTTCATGGAATTCCATATTTTCTTTGTTTAATCTAAAGTCAATTAATTTACAAATTCTTTCATAAACTCTATCATGTAATTCTTCCATTGATGGGTCTTCACTTTTTTCAAATTTTTCAAAACAATGAACATGAATAAATGGTAATTTAAATCCAGGTTCTTGTTTAATTTCTGGAACATTTGCATACAACCCAATAAATGCATCCAAAAATGTCAATGCAGAATCTGGTAAATTCATGACAAAGTGATGATAGAATTTTGGAACATCTGTTTTGGTAATAGTTGTTTGCTTTTCGTATTTCTTATCACCAAGAGACACTCTCTTGACAATTTTCTTTTCGAGAGGACCTTTTTGAGCCCATTCTTGTAACAATTTAGGTGCTTGGATAATGAACTCTCTTCCATCCAAATTGTATGGTTGAATAAATGGTTCTACTTTGTTGATTTTGATGTTTTCTTGTAAATATTTGTAACTTTCTGGATTCAAATCATTTGCCAACACAATGACTTCTTTCTTGGATGCTGGAATAGCAAATGGTCCCACACCACCAAAAACATCACCAACAGTTTCACCAGGTTTGAATTTAGAAATAATTCTTTCATGTTCAGTACTTAATCTTGAGTTCCAGTACACTTTACTAAAATCAAATTTGAATTTACATCCACTTTCCAGTTGTTCAACAACGTAGTTTGGTTCACCAGCCAATAATTCTAATGGGAAAGTTCTAAATTTATTGGCAATAGTATCAGCCTTATCAACAACAGTCAAAACCAGGGGATTTTTATCTAAGATAATTTGTCCAATTAATTTCCCATATGGTTTATATTCTTCTCTTAAATTTAAATGTGCTAAATGTCCAGCTTGACTGAATCCACTTGGAATATCACTAAGCAAATTTTCAGGCAATATACTTTTCAAAATCTCATCACCTTTCCAGAATGAATAATCAAGATGTAAAGTATGTGGTTTCAAAACAATTCCAAACTCTGCTATTTTCTCTTGAGTTTTAGGGGCTAAATCTTGTAATTCCTTAACCTCATCGCGTAGTAAAACAGCTTTTGAGTTTTCCATTGGTATGATATGCTTGATTGCTTGAACATAAAGGATATCTTGTTGACATTCTTTAACAAATTGACCCAAATATTGAGGTTTAGGGAAATATGCAGCCATTAAAGGAACGTCTTTCTTAAAGAAAGAACGATCTAACTCAACCATATTACGGTTTACTGGAGGACCAAATTTAGACATTATGATTGATCTGGATATAGATTTAGGTAAATGTCGAAAGAGTTTAATATTCATTGACCAAAAAGAAAAGAAAGATCAATTGAAAATACTGAAAAAAAAAAAAAATTCACTCTTCGATATTGTGCAAAGAAATGAATGAATGAAGAAGAAAAAAAAAAACGCCATAAAAAAAATCCTACTATTTCGCTCATCTCATCATCATCAACAACAAACTAAGCAACAACAACAACTTACAAAATGGATGAAGCAGACGTGATTAGTATAACAAGACCAACAACTGATTATAATAATATTGAAGATGAAGATGACCAAGTCAATGTTGACATTGAAATGTCTGATGGTCAAGATCAAGGCAATTCAATTGTTACTCCTGGTGAACTAATAACAGAAGACCCAATCTGGATGAAAGGTCATGGTACATACTTTTTAAATGATAAAACATACTCATCAGTAGCAGGAAACATTTCAAGAGTTAATAGATTATTAAGTGTTATACCATTAAGAGGAAAATATAGCCCAGAAACCGGTGATCACGTGATTGGGCGTATTACTGAAGTTGGTAACAAACGATGGAAAGTAGATATTGGAGCTAAACAAGATGCTGTTTTAATGTTGGGTTCAGTGAATTTACCAGGTGGTGTTTTACGAAGAAAATCAGAATCTGATGAGTTACAAATGAGAAATTTTTTGAAAGAAGGTGATTTATTAAATTGTGAGGTGCAAACTATATTCAATAATGGTATGGCTTCATTGCATACCAGATCTTTGAAATATGGAAAGTTAAGAAATGGTATTTTTTTGAAAGTACCAAGTTCATTGATTGTCAAATCCAAGAATCATGCGTTCGATTTACCAGGTAATGTTTCCATTGTGCTAGGATCCAATGGCTACACATGGCTTTATAAAACTCCAAAGACAAATAAATCTAAGGAAAGCAGTGCTCCTGGAATTACAAGACTCGAAGAAGAAAGTTCATGGGAAATTTACAGTGACAAGAATGAGTTTATTGATGTTCAAACCAGGCATAACATAGCTAAATACTATAATATTTTGAAATCATTAGCTGCTAAAGAACAAAAAATAAATAGTGAAGTATTAATCGAAGCATTCGACTATTAGAATATATAAATATTTACAAGAGAGGATAAGTTACTTAAATCTATATACATCTATCAATTGTCCGAGTTTTCTTCCTGATAAAACACCTTGGAGATCGTGCATACTGTAATTGACTCTATGATCAGTAACACGGTTTTCTTTGAAATTATAAGTTTTGATCTTATCACTTCTATCAGTTGACGATACTTGATCAAGTCTTAAATTTTTCTGTCTTATCATTTCTTCTTCCTGTTCTTTTTGCGCAAGACGACTTCTCAACACGGCAAATGCTTTTGCTTTATTCATTGGTTGAGATCTTTCATCTTGTTGATAGACAATCATACCTGTAGGTATATGAACCAATCTAACTGCAGAATCCGTGGTGTTGACATGCTGACCACCTTTACCACTTGCTCTCATGGTATCAATTCTAACTTCACCTGGTGCAAAAACTCTTTCATCTTCTTTCAATGAAGATTCGTTACCTTCAGATAATTTTGGTAATACCACCACTGCGGCAGTTGATGTATGAACTCTACCCTTTGTTTCAGTTTCAGGAATTCTTTGAACTCTATGAACTCCACTTTCATGACGCATTATATCATAACTTCCCAAAGTATCAATACACAATATTGCTTCATTTAAAAATCCACTTGCATTTCTTCCTTCCGATATAATTTTGGACTTCCAGTTCATCTCTGACGCAAAACCCATGTACATGTTTAGCAAATCACCGGTGAATAAACTTGCTTCATTACCTCCAACACCTGGTCTTAATTCAATCATACAACCTTTCTCGGCGTATTTAACAGGTGGTCTAAGTTTGACACTTAGTTGAGATACAAGTTTCTCAACTTCTGGAGCAATTGTTTCGAGTTCTTCTTGAGCTTCTTTACGCAAGTCTGGATCATCAGTGATATTTACAAGTTCTTGATATTCCAGCCTATAAGTGTTTAATTTATCATAAAGACCAAGAATATTGGTATAATTATCGTATTTAACTTGTAAATCTGGTATGTAATCATTAGACAACTTTTCACTTAGTTCCTTATGTTCTTTTCTAATACTCTCCGCTCTTTCAACTAACGAAGCAGGCAATGATGGAAGGGATTCTATGGAAGTTGAAATTGTTGTTTTTGTGGTATTGAATCGGACTGATTGGATGGTAAAATTTCTAGATAGTAGAACTGATCTTATCCTTGGGAAAGTAATAAAACGCATCATTATGAGTTGAGAATGCAATAAGAACAATACTAACAGTTGTTTCAAATATTCACCATGAAATAGTGTAAATGTTTAGATTACTCCAGGTATAGTTTGAAAGAAAAATTTTCATATATTTATTTGTTAGTTATAGGGCGAGTGTAAAAGTCGTGCGAAGCCATGAGATAAAAATCACCACTCCTTGCTTTTTCTTTTTATAATCACCCACTGTGTCCACCCCCAGTTGCCATTACCACACATTCTGCAACATCAATGTCTCCCGAACTTCCGTCATTGACTTTAGAAGAGTTTAAAAATGCTATAAAGGATATTTCACAGTTTGAATTGGAAACCAAAAAGCAAGAACAAAAACACTTTATATTCAAGTTAATTGAAACAAATAATGAACTTCTAAATGAAATCAAAAAACTAAAGGAAAAGAAGGATGATGCTACATTTGAAGACAAGGAAGATTTGATATTTTTTCAGGAGACTATTATGGAGAATAAGAATTATTTGTTAGAACAAATTGCTAGAGTTGAAAGTATTAATAATGAATTAGTCTCTCGAAGTTTGATTAGTGAACAAGATAAAAAGAATGATGAAGATAAATTAATTAATGATATCAATTCGAAAGATCTAGAAGGTAATAAAAAACCTGAACAGGAAGAGAATGCATTGAAAGAAGAAGAGGAAGAGGGAATATATTTATAATACTCAAAGTAGTTCTTCTATATATTTACAAGGTGTGAATATCCATAGTCATATAAAACAGCAATATATACAAGTTTCTACAGACAAACATACTATTTTTGAACTTTTCTTGGGTCTCTACCAAAGAGCTTGTCCAAGAAAGGTTTTTCTTCTTGGTTGATCGGATCCTCTGGACGTTTAACTACCAACATCCAAGTGGTACTAAGATGTGCTCTCTTTTCAATTGTGATATCTAATCCTGCTTCATCAATTAATTCTCCAATATCCAAATTCCATCTACATTTCCAAGTCTTCATTCTTTTTTCGCTTCTAAAGTCCAAATGATTGTTGATGAATTCCCAGTTACTTCTACCATGTTCCAATAAAACAATTCTACCACCAGGTTTCAATAACTTGGCCATATTTTTCAAAGCTTGTACAGGATTTTCATGAGAACATAATCCGAATGCTTCAATAATGGTATCATATTTGACATTCTCTGCAATTTTGGACATATCTTCAGCTTTCCCAACAGTGAAAGCAACTTTTTTATAATTTGGAAACGCTTCTGTGAATTTTTCTTTGGCAATCTCAACCATATTACGAGCTGAATCAATAAAAGTCATAGATTTCACTTGATCAGGATAAAAGTAAGGAATATTTCTTCCAGTACCACAAGAAACTTCCAAAACATCTCCTTTAGCATGTTGCATCAACCATCTTCTTTTACCGCCCATAAGAATACCTCTCTCTTCCCATTTCACAGCATCATCATACTCTTTTGCCTTTTCATCATAGAACGACGTAGTATCTTCTGCAGGCTGAATAGATGGGTGAATGTTAACTTTATCCTTGGAGTCAATTTTATCTGTCAATACCGGGGCATTTGAAGATGCACTTTTATGTCTTGGTTGTTGTTGATACCAATCATTTAATTCTTGTGGAGTTGGGTTGAACATTTCTTCGTTAAACAAATTCTTACGTCTAAACTCTTTTCTCATTAATTGATACAACTTGTATTTCTTCAATTCCAATGGACGTAATTTTTCCAGATTATTCAATGATTTAAGAACCAAATACTCATATTCCGATAAACTTGAAGGATCTTTGGCATATTTTGCATCGATATGTTTCATTTGCTTGTCTTCATGATATCTATCTCTCATATAAAAATAAAATGGAACCAACGCAACAAAAAAACAACCAACATAAATCTTTAACATTGTCTTGTTTTGAAATTGTTCTGACTGAGAATATTCTGTCCATCGTTTATACCAAGGTAATTTGCTTTTGGCCCTGGCTTCTTTTCTTTCCTTGTCATTTAATGCAAATGGGTTGGATGAAGAGTATGTCCTAAAATATCCAACTGGGTACTTAAGAGGCACGCCTCTATACATAGTTCTTGAAACCAATCTTTGAGTAAGCATCTCAAAACTGAAGGTAACTTTTGAATAATTATTTGTATCTAATACGGGATTTGAATACTGAAAGAAATGTACAATTTAAACCTCTTGAGAAAAACTTGAGAGTATCTTAATAGGTGAGAAAATTATTTCCCATATAGGTCGTGTGTCGCAGCACAAATTGAAACTTTTTTGTTTTTTTTTTCTCGCTCTCTCGGTTTGTAAGATTTGAGAATTACAATATGGACGAACACATTTTCTCTTTTTTTTTGATGGCAAAAGGAACCACTTGTTGATAGCTTCTATAATAGACACACCTTCATAAACATATCATGTCGGAACAACAATTGTTAGAAGAAGCCAGAAAGGCCGTATCAAACAAACAATACGATGAAGCAGAATCAAAATTCAAACAGATAATCAATTCAACAGCCCAAAGTTCAACTGTTCCAACTGCCAAACAATTACAACAGCAAGAAAGTGCCATATTGGAATTGGGTAAGGTTTATGAAACTTTGAATGAACCAACCAAATTGGATGAATTAATAACTGATTCCAGAACAGTATTGGGTAATTTTGCCAAATCTAAAACTGCCAAAATTGTGAAAACTTTAATTGAAGATTTTGATAAATTGGAAGGTGCCTTGGATGTACAAATTGGTGCCACTAGAAAAAGCATGCAATGGGCCATTGATTCTAAATTGTCATTTTTGAGACAATCCTTACAATTGAAATTGAGTGAATTGTTATACAAAAAGAAGAATTACCAAGAAGCTATTAAAATCATCAATGAATTGTTACGAGAATACAAGAAATTGGATGACAAATCATCATTAGTTGAAGTTCAATTATTGGAACTGAAAATATACCATGCTCTAAGAAATATCCCTAAATCTAGAGCTGCATTGACTAGTGCAAGAACATCGGCCAATTCCATATATTGCCCTACTATTTTACAAGCAGAATTGGATTGTCAAAGTGGTATATTAAATTCAGAAGATAGAGATTATAAAACAGCTTTTTCATATTTTTATGAAAGTTTTGAAGGTTTCAACAGTCAAGACGATCCACGTTCCATCACTATATTGAAATACATGTTGTTAACCAAGATTATGTTGAATTTGATTGATGATGTTAACAACATTTTGAACAACAAGAATGTCATCAAGTACAAATCTAAGGATATTGATGCCATGAAAGCTATTGCTACCGCCTATTCAAATAGATCATTAAAGGAATTTGAAAACTCATTGTTGACATACTCAGAAGAATTGAAATCTGATTCAATTATCAAGAGCCATTTCAATGCATTGTATGATAATTTATTGGAACAAAATTTGTTAAAGATTATCGAGAGTTACAGTTGTGTTGAATTATCACATATCTCAAAAGTTATTGGTTTAAGTTTACCACAAGTTGAAGGCAAATTATCACAAATGATTTTAGATAAGGTATTCTACGGGGTGTTAGATCAAGGAAATGGATGGTTAATAATTTACGATGAACCAAGAAAAGATGCTGCTTATGAAGCATCATTAGAATTGGTGAAAAATTTATCAAGTGTTGTTGATTTGTTATACGAAAAGGCATCTTCATTAAATTAGTTATATACTTTAGTGGGACTTAAATATACCTTGTATACCACGTTCACTAGATACAATAGATAATTCACCGCATCTGACCAAAAATTCATTCAAGCGACCACTCTTTTGGAAACAAGTTAAAAAGTCATTCAGCAGCTCATCAGCAACTTCATTTATCAACTCATATGCTTTGTCTATATATTTCCAATTCTTCAGACGAGCATTTTGATAGATGGTAATCAACTCCATAATAACATATGGGATGTATAATGCTCTAAAGTCTTTGAATACTGGATCACTTAAACCTACTACCCATTTCTGTACGATATCTGATAAGATTTTACTAGTCTTGTCTAACGACAGGTCAACATTACTAGCTCTATAGGCATCATTGTCAGCAGGGAATGATTTCCATTGGTCTATCAAGTTTAACCCTTCAACAAAATTATAATATTCTAATAGTTCTTCCTTATTTTCTTCAGTAATGTCATCTTTTTCGTTTTTACTTACATTATCCACATTGTAATCAGTAATCAATTGCTTGAAGTTATTGCCTGCCGCAAATTGTTTCAAACTGGATAGTTTTCCATTGACCAAAAATCGACGAATAACAACAATGGTAGCCTTTATAGCATCTGCCCACATATGATTTTCATAAAACCATTCAACTGCACGGTATAGTTTAAAATCTGTTTCGTCAACAGTTGAGCCAGCGTCTTGTAAAGAAATAGTTGTATCGACACCTTCCTGTGGTCTGTAGTAATCTTCAGTTTCAGTCATCACTCTTTCCACAGTTCGTCTTAATACGTTCACCAATTTATCATCCTCGGCAACAATAATCATATCCTCGTCATGATAATTAAACACTTCTTGTGTAACACTACGTGCGGCTTGTAACTGTTTTATTCTCTCTTCCTTATCGGTTATAGAGGAAAGAATAACTGAATAGGTTTCTCTAGCATCTTTTTCATCCGGAATAAAAGACAAATACACTGGAATTAGTTCCGAATTTCCTGTTTCCATAAGTCTTGAAATATAAAGCCTTATAATATTAGTAAAGTCATCGCGGTTTTTCAAAGGACGAACCAAGGCTAGAAAAATAGATAAGTGCACCAAAATACGAAGAACATTTTCATTAGCGGAGGTATCATACTTGAAATTTTCAATCAACTTTTCCACTTGATCAATCATGACGGCCCCACTGATTATTCTTAATGGATTTAGACTTTGCTGTGACACTTCAGTACCAGCATTGGATAAATTATTTAATATTTGGTCGACGGAATCTGCTTGTGGTTTTGGGATTGTGATTGATAAAGATTCGGTGGTATTTTCTAGTACGATTGAATCCAATTTGTAGGAGAATAATTGATATGCATATAATAATAAAGAGTCTTCCCAAGAACGCTTTGCAGCTTCCAAATTTTCAGTGATATTACCACCACTTAAATAGTTATAAATCAATTTTTCATAGGCATTCAATCCTGGTTTTTGAGACAACTTATAAATGGTTTCTTTCCATAATAACTTATGTTTGAGACCACCAGCGGATGTGATTTCATCAGAATTTCCATCCAATACAGGATCTTGATATGGCTGTCCTCCACCAACTAATATCAATGCGAGGGCAAAATTTTCTGTATTATTTGCATGATCAATTGCCTCCTGGATTTTACCATTCAAAAGAAGTCTGTAGATGATTGCACAGTTTTCCAGATCAATAGCTTCATCTTTTGGATCAATTGATAAATTTGTTCTCAAAGGTGCATCAACATCTAAGCTGGTAACTAATTTTGGTCCCAGGGATTCCAGAGCTGTCAATTCACTAAGATCAGAATTTGTCACACCAACTCTGGTATTATTCCATTTATACTGTGGATCCGATTCATAACTAATCAGGTCTGAATTTCTTTGAATCCAGGTTATTATCATTAACAATTCTTTTAATTTTGGATGGGAAGATAAAATATGTTTTTGTTTGGCTAAAACTGAAGAATAATCATGGGCTTCAAAGTCTTCTGGTGTTTCCAACCTCAAGGCATATAAATCTTCAACAAGATTCCATAATTTGGTTTCTAAACTCCAGTTATCAAATTGTTCTCTCATGTCCTTGTCAGAATCATTTTCTTCCAATTGAGCACCCAAAGCTAATGCTTGAGTGGCAGCAACACTTTTAAAAGTCAGTATACAATCAAATGGCAGCACTGATGCATCTGCCTTGTGCAACTGAAATTGTTCTAATGCATGGGAAAATTGCACCTCAACACTTGCATTTCTATCATAAGGCACCAATCTATCTGTCATTTTTCCTTCTCTATGCAATGCTATAACCAGATCTGTTTGAAACAATAACTTGTCTTAGTTTGCAACGTCTATAATTTGTAAAAGATGAACTTCAGACAACAACAACAACAACAAAGAAGAGAGAAAAAAAAAAAATTTAAAGAAATGAGAACAAACGAAAAAAAAAAGTTCACTGAATTATTGCTTCTCGCACGACCTTTACTTATAGTGGATTATCACTGTTGTGAGATATGTTGAACTGATTTAGAGGTATAGCTGTGATATGCTAGTAGAAAAACAATTCACCAAGAGTCTACTAGGATATTACGTAATGAATAAAGTATATTCTATCTAATGTTTGTCTGAGGTTTACTCTAGATAAATGTGACCCCTCGAAACTTTAAAGTCGGATTTTACGACAACAACAACTCGCACTGGAATCACACTTTGATAATAAATTACTTTACTTGTAGTTACTTTTTTGCCCCTACCTTTTTCCCCATATTAATAAAACTTCGGTATTACAATTGAAGGTGATTTAACATTCTTTATCAACCATTCTTCATTTTTTAAATTTTCTCCCTTTTTTTTTATTACTATCCTTTCCCGTATGTCGTCAAAGCCTGTTAACCAGGACAGCTCAACAATTGATACTCCTAATTTGTTATCACTCTCCAACGATAACGTGGAGCGGCAATCCAATCATAGTGAACCAGAAACCCTGGAACCTAGTCAACATCCTACATTCGTCGATGATGATGAAGACAACAATCCATTCTCACATCATAGTCAAGGCTTGGCAAGCTTAATATCTAGTAAAGCTTTCAAGGGGAAATTGGGGACAAACAGTGAACAACATCCTCCAACCCAAGCCAACGAAGAAGACGACGATGATGATGATGATGACTTATTATTATACAATTCAGCACTGAACAATGAAAATACTCATTCAAATAGTAATCAAAAATCTAATCCAGCTGGGGAGGTTTTCAATGCTGTTAATATGAATTTTGAGAGTCGAGTGACCAAGTTATTAAAACCTGGTACAAAAATCAAAATTCAAATCACCGAGGCTGGTAACTCGAATGAAGGAATGGCAAATCTGCTGAAAAAATACGTTGTTTACACTATAAAATTGGTTAATTTGGATAACTTGAATGATGATATATTGACTCGAAGAAGATATAGTGATTTTGAAAGTTTAAGAGATGTATTAACAAAAGTATTCCCACTAATAATTATTCCACCAATTCCTCCCAAGAATTATTTCGACTTTTCAGTTTTGAATGGATTAGTTGGAAGTAATAGTGAAGCATCTTCAGCCTCAGTCGGTGCAACTCCATCATCAGCATCGTCAATAGGGACAAACTCCAATAATCGTCAAACATACTCATACATCAATTCAACTCATTTGAACAAGAACAAATTGATTGAGCATAGAAAGAGATTGTTGACAAATTTTTTGAACAATTGTCTTGAAATAAAGCAAATCAGGAACATGGAGTTTTTTGCAAAATTTTTGGATCCTAATGCCAACTGGAGTGACGAAATAAAACTCATTCAGAGCCAATTACCCAAGTCTATATATTTGCTGAATCCTGAAAATGGGTTGAAAACAGACCCTATATATATCAATTTACCCAATCCTTCAAACAAAAATACAATATCTTTCTTCAAAGATAACAAAAAGAAATTAACAAAGAAGACCAACAAGTTATTAAACAACAATGGCAATAATGGTAACAAACCGGATAGTAGTAACTCCGAGAACCAATATATTGCAAATACATCAGAATTGGATGATATAAACAAACGAATTATGGCCAATTATATTGGATTATCAAATGATTATACTAAATTGGGAAGTACATTCAATTCGTTTTCATTGATCCTTTCTGAAACAACCACCTCTGATACAAAAAAGAACAATGATAATGAACTTAATATCATATTTGATAAGATTGGCCAGGTTTTTGATCGTTCTTATATTACTATTAATTCGTTAATTGGAGAATTAGAAACAAAATTCTCAGAACCACTAGGAGAAGTTGTACAATATACCAGTATATTGCATTATGTGGCTAAGTATCAAGCAAAGAAAGTAAAACAAAAGACAATGCTAGATGATGAAGTGAATGAAAAGAAGAAATCCTTGGAAGAGTTGCTAAAGATTGAAGAAGAATCTAGCCGAATTGAGAATGCTATTCATTCTCAAGGAAGACCTAAAAATAGCAAATACAGTTTACAGAACCAAGGACAGCAGCAGACAACAACAGCAACAACTTCTCAGAATCCTCCTACTCCACAACCGCAACCGCAACCGCCATCTTCTTCTTCTTCTTCAGTATCGTCTTCGAAGTTCAAATTCCCAAGTTTCAAGAAAATAACACAATATGTAAGTGAAATTATTGATCAAAACCCAGAGCAAACAAGAAAACAAAAGATAATACATCTTCAAGCAAAAATAAAAGTATTAGAAAAATGCCAAGGTATAATGTTGGCGGATTTATCATTTATTACGGATGAAGTAAACAAGAATATACAGGCATTCCAAACAAGACAATTGAAAATGATCTATGGTATATTATTGCAATACAATAGGTTCTTGATTGGTTGGGCTAAGAAAAATATAGACATTTGGGAAGAAGTACGAGAAGAAATTTTAAGAATGTGACAGATCCACATATATCTATGTGCGTCTGTATGTGTATGTGAATATACATTTTGCGACTTTATTCTGATAAATATTGAATAACTGCAGGACCCCATTCATCAGCACGTTTATATTGTGAAATATCTTTAGGAAAACCATTGATGGCACCAATTAATCTGTCACAAACTTCTCTACCTTCTTTTTTAACTTCTGCTAATGGTAAAAGGTATGTTCTGATTGTAAATACCATAGCACCAGACTTAGGTAACTTAGTCAAAACTTGTCTTTCGCTTCTGTAATGAACTTGGTTTTCAAAATCCAAATCTTCATATTTCAATGGTTCTTGAACGAAACCTTCAGGTAAATTATGGCCTTTATTGGCATCATCGACATAAAATTTATTATGTGTTTGCATTGAATAATTCAGTCTAGTGACAAATTGGCCAGGTAATAATCTATTGAAAAATCTGTTCATTGATAATTTCAATTTTTGTTCATAACCTGGAATAGGACCATGAACAAATGATAATGGTTTATTGAAACGATCTCTTGGATTAAAACCTGCAGCAAATGCAAAAATCCCCCCTTTAAAGAAATATTCAGTACCATTTTCTTCATCTTCTCTAGTTGGATCTTTCAATAAGATGATAAAATCTTCTTCAATATTACCCACTAAATATTCTTGTAATTTAACAGGGTCAGTTCCAGTAACTGGATAGGTTTTGTCAGTAATTAAATTGTGAATAGTGTCACCATCTCTCTTGAAACAAGTAGGATATTTATCACATAAATATTTCATAACAATTTCATAAAATTCAATGATGGCTGGGGTAGCTTCTGGGGTAACAAACAAAGTAGATGACCTAGTATCTTTATCAGCCGGATAATCAGGATGACTATTAGTGATGATTTTTTGTTTAGCTTCAATTCTAGATTTATAAGTTGGTTCAACTAATAACCAATCTTGTGGATCTAAAGTACGAATTCCCATAGTTAATTTATATTCGGCATTTTTGAATGGATATGATTTTAATGGTGGTTCAGCATCCCATTTGAAATCAGTCAATGGGGTTGGGTTTAATGGTTGGTATTCTTTAGATTTATCATATAATTTTGATTGCTTTGATTGTTGCTTTCCTTTTTGATTGGTAGATGATTTAGCAACTAACTTAGTATAAACCAAGTAACTAGAAATCACAACAAATAAAATGGTAAATCCTATAGCTTGAACATCTGGCTTGTTATCTGAAATGAAAATATTATTCAAAAACTCGGTTGTATTTGTACTCATTAAAACAGCAAAAGATATAAAAAAAATGAATTTACTCAACGGGAAAAGGAATAGTTAGTTACAGTCAATGATTAGGAACGTTGGTTTCAAGTGTAAAATAAAAGAATAAAAACAACCAAATGGAAGTGAAATGGAAAATTGTTGGCGTGTTTGAAACTTTTGGTGATTCATGATTGGACTCATTAATTAATAAAAAGGAATTAAGACAAATAATTTTGACTCACTCGCATTAGTTTGGCGGCTAAATTTCCGTTTTCGTCCAAACAAAAAAAGGCAATTCAATAATTACATTATCATGCATAGACTAATCCAGAAAATCATAGCGAGGCCGTTTTTTCTGAATTTCTTTTCTCCGATTTCGCTTGGGCAGTTCATTTGCGGAAGACGAGTTCCCTCTCTATACTTAAAACAACTAATAAACAGGTGTGGAAGATTGAGCAAGATAAATGTCTTAATATATTTGACAATTTTTGTGGGGATAGTAATTGAAAGAAATACTCCATTGACAAATTCAAAAATTATTCAAGAAATTCTGCAAATTTAATGCGAATATATTACAAACTAAATTAACTTATAAAATACCACTATTTGAAGTCGTTAATTATACTGATACACAGTTCAGATGTTTCTCTTACGAATAATACCCGTGAACTTGATTATCTTAGCACGAGCTACCAATTTTCATTGGTCGTGCAATCAAGCTCAGGATGCCTTGCCAAATTTTTTTTTTTTTCAGTTTTGTAATCTGATTTTTTTTTTTTTTTTTCATTCATTTCACAACCATAAAACATCAAGTGTTGTCTACTATTCAAGATCAATGAGTTCTGCATTGTTAATAGCCAAGTATTTGGGAGTAGATAAAAGAACAGAACTCATAGAACAGTTGTGTTCAGAGTTAAAGGATACTCAAGACAATGTGGAAGTTTTAATTGAACTTTTAGATGGATTTAATCTTGATGAGCATCTCGATTTATATCAAAATATCTTACAATTTTGCCAAACTAAATTATTAGATGAAGAAGATTTTGAAATCATTTTGAAATTTTTAACTAAAATCCCTGAATTAAGAAAAGAATTAGTCGAGTATATGGTATGCTTGATGAAAGTGTATATCAAAAATCAAGTTTATTACTTTCATCCAGAATTAACCAAAGCCATTCCATTATCGACTACAAATGATCTGAAGGAGACTTCAGTAACAAATGAAGACTTGATTTTGATTTTCAAATACTTAGAAGCATTGTTTCAAGAAAATTTTGTTGAAAATTCAGAAATTGATTATGTATTGTTGGCATTTTTAGGAATTGACGATAGAGATATTGCTAATTTAACTTCAAAATTATTACGTTGGAGAATGAGTTCCATTGCTAAGGATATTGATGAACAATTAATTTGGAAGATCATATTTACTTTACTGAAAACTAATCAAGATTTTCATAAAAGTCACGCATTTATTTTATGGTTGAGATACGTGAATACAAATTTAACTGATAGTAAAATATTCCAAGAATTAATTCATGACGACGAATACTGGTTACTTTTACAAGATGGGTTAATAAGTGATTCTCACGAGTATCGTAAATTCTGCTTATCAATCTTACAATGTTCCTTGGAATCAATCAACACCAATTTCAAGAATAATTATGTATCATGGGACATCACCCAAAGAGAAAAGTATTTAAAGGAATGGTCAAGATTTATGACATTATACGAAATTCTTGGTATTGATACTTCTTTGAATCAAGCAGAAGCTGGTAAAAATGATATGACAGGATTGATTTCACCAAAGGCATTGATTCCTCCTTCATGGGGTTGGTGTTTATTGTCAACTGGTCTTAATGCTTCCCTTGAATCAGTAAGAAGATTCACATTAAAACTTTTGTTGTCTATTCCACACGATAACTTGTATTTAATCAAACATGGTTTACCTATTTTTGAACGTGCATTTTTGCCACACTTGATGAATGCTTCCAATTTAAACATCAAGGTGATTGATGGAAAATTGGATTGTGAGTATGCATATCAATTGAAGTATTTTATTTCAAGTATTGTTGAAAGATTATCGGCCGAACAAGATGTTCAAGATGTTACTTTATCAATTTTAAAAGTCTTAGCCGGGTTGAAAGATAGTTATAGTCCTTCCAGAATCTTAGTCTTGCATGGATTACTCGATGGGTTGCAAGGAAGAAAATTATTGAAATTTGGTGTTCATGACATTCCGTTGGCTATATTATTTGAAGCAAATTCTGAAGGTGAGATTTTTGCCAAGTATCACGATACTCTTACTTTGAGATTATTATTGCATTTTAAATTTGATGACAGAAGTTTGTTCTTTGCAAATTTGAATAAAGTTATCAAGTATAATGGCTACAAACTTTTGAGAGACAACAAGAGTTTGATTGAAGAGTATCTTGATATAATGTCACTTGAAGAGGCATTAGCAGATAGCGATATCCAACATCAAGTATTGGCTATATGTTTCACCAACAAAGATATCAGTTCATTCTTGGAAACTTGTGAAGACTTGTTTTTAGCTAAATTGTTGGAGTCAGGTTGTAGAACTGCAGAGTTGAAAAAATTTGAAGATAGATTACAGGGCCTTATTAACAGTGAAGAAACAGAGGTGATCAAAGCTTTATCTAATGCAGAGTTTAACTTCTCAGTTACTTCTGAAATTTTACTGGAGTTATGGATGAGAATTAAAGAGGAAACTCAGTCAGATAGCAAAGACGTATTGGAAGCTAGTCTTTACAAGATGAGACTTTTAAATCAAATCTATGAAGCATCACCAAATGTTCCTTTTGAAGATAGTACTGCTGTTGTTGAATTTAATAAAATCATGTTGGCTAATTCTCACGAACTTTCCAAAACGGCTCGATTCTTTTATAAATTGAAGGACGAAATTTGGGGAGAGTACTATAAATTGTTACAAATCTCATGTGAAAGAACTGGTGTTAAAGATATTAAATCAATTTTGCAAGTATTAAATCCTGGTACTACAAATCTCAAGGCAAATGTATCCATGGTCAGTGTGCTCTATGACTATTTAGAATTGACCGAGCAACCAGAATGTGTTTATGATATTGTTGAATTTTTATGTGAATTATGGCTGAACATTTCAGCAATCAAATTAAAATTACACGCATTGTCATTACACGTTTTATTGATCAAGACATTTTTTCATCCAAAGGTGGTTTTCAATTCTGAGAGTAAGAATATGATGATCCAATTTGGTCTTTCCATTATCGGTGGTTCCGACACCAGACGTCGTTTCTTGCCTACCTTAGCCACTAGCTTGACTAAATGTCAACTTTACAATGCTATAGAATTTGAGAAATTAGAATGGCTTCCTGAAGTTTTGATTAAAGCTTATTTGGTTCATCAACCAAAGATGCATTTTTTCATACTTCCAGTTATTTTGGCAAAGATTTATGATAGAGAGATCAGTTTTGATAAAAACTCAGATATTTACACCGAAGTTTATGGTGAAGCCGAAATCAGTGCCAGAGTTAAAATTTTGGCTATTTTCAATTCTATCAAATCCAAAGAATTATCTCAAAATATTCATGATTATATAATTGAAAATCAAGAGGATTTCCACCTATTTAAACCACTTAGAAGTACGGACTCCTATGAAGAATGGATTAGAATGCAATTATATTCTATTGTGTTATCGTTGTCAAGTAATATTGAAATTGATCTTGACATATTCTTGGAAAGAATTGCTATTGAACCTAGTCCAATGGTTCGTTCTTATATTGAATGGATTATTTCCACTAAATTATTGACTAATGATGAGTACGTTGAGAGATTATTGAACGAACTAGTCAAGAATATCAATAACTTGAAGCCATCAGTTGTTGTATCATACATGAAGATGGTTTTCCTTCTGATTAAACAACAAGACATTCCAAAGGAATGTACATTATTGACAAGATTCTTAAATACTGTTATTCCAGCTTCAACTTCAGCCCGTAAAATGGTTCGTCATTTTGCATTATCATTGGTTATTTCTATCCATGATGAAATCGAGAGAAAGAAGTTACCTCTCGACTCTCATGTTCTTGATATTGTTGAAAACTTGTATATCAATGCATTGGAATCTGAAACTTTTGCTCAATATAGAAGTGGTGATGATTTGTTATGGAATATTGTTGATGATATGACTTTGGTAAATATTTCCGGAGGTGTAATGTTAAGATTGACTGATAGAACTGATTTGGAATTTATCAAAAAGGAACAATTCGATGAATTCCTTTTCGCTGAACAACTTGTATCATTAAACCATAAAATAGGTGTTAATCCAATAATGTGGTATTCTCAAGTTGGTGCCCCTAAGAAGAAAGTTATTGTTACTCCAATAGAACCAGTGGTTCAATCATCACCATTGCAAACAAAGAGTGGTGCCTGGAATACTATCATGGAAGTTGATAACGATAGTCTGCGTATTGCAGAAGTTGAGAGAAGTGAATTAATTGTTGTCTCATCTTTGGTTGATAAACCACCAAACTTGGGTGGTATTTGCCGTTTGTGTGATGTTTTGGGTGCTGGGTTATTAACATTACATGATATTGAAGTTAAAAAGCATCCTCATTTTAAAACTGTTGCTGTAACTGCTGATCACTGGATGCCAATGATTGAAGTTAAAATGGAGAATATTAGAGACTATTTGTTGGATAAGAAACGCGAGGGATATACCTTAATCGGTCTAGAACAAACTGACAAGTCTGTTGAATTGAATAATGATTTGAAATTCCCAAAGAAGTCTCTTATTTTAATTGGTAAAGAAAGAGAAGGTATTCCTGGTGACTTGTTGGCAGAATTGGATTTCTGTGTTGAGATTAAACAAGTTGGTATTGTTAGATCAATGAACATTCAAACTGCCACAGCAATCATCGTCCACGCATATTCCTCACAACATTGTTAATAATCACAACAAAGCCTGAATTATAATAATAGTAGTATATTAATAGAATCTATTTAGAATATAGAACCGTCATTTTCATCATTATCTTCTTCTATCAAATTATCCAATGCTTTTACGATACTAGGACAGTATTTGTTACATAATGCAATAGATTTAACCACCAATGATTGTTTTAAACCTTTGAAGTTCGAATTATTAGAATTTACAGCAAAATTCGTGTTCGAAATAGGAGTTATTACCTTATTGTTATAGAAACTCACAATTAAGCCGTTTTCCAAAACTTGCTCTTCTTCAATGGAAGGATCAAGGATCAAATTATTTCCAATGACTCCAATGGTGATGAAAATCGGTGGTTGGAATGTTTTACCATTTTCTAGACAATCTTGTAAAAGCTTAGCATTATCCCAATCATCACTAAATGTAGGTTGTTCAGCAATTTCTTCATCATTGACATCACTGATCAACAAAGGTAATCGCGTTGTTTTCAAGGCCAAATATGTTGTCAAAGATAATAAACTTAAAGGATATGAAGTATGACTTATAACAATACAATCAATATAAAGTTTGAATGCATATCTTGTTGTTAATTTAAGTATTTCATGAGGGAAATTCTGTTGTAATAAATTCATTAATTGAAATTTCAAATTCGAAACATAATTTGAATCGTCTCTATGACCAATAATATCAACATCAACTTCTATTAAATTACTTTCTTGTGACATTAATACAACTTTAGATTTAACACTTACTATACATTCACTTCCATCTCCTGTTCTTATTCTGGCTGATCCATTTGATCCTGGTAAAAACGAAGTTTTGGCAACCAAAGGACGATATTGATGAATTGATCTTAAATCTGGTCTTATGATTGGTTGTTGAGTCAAGGAGTCATATAAATATGACCTTTCCGCAGGTGATAACTGTACCATGATCTATAGAGTCTTGTTGGAACTAATGGTAGTAAATGGTATGGGTAAATTGATGAGATGAAGAGTTTTTTCTCAGTGAAGTTAAGATGGATGAATTTAAAAAACAGGCAAAAAAAAAAGCAAATGCGACATTATTACAAGTAACGACATTGGCTAGCTTAAACTACAAACTAATGAGTATAGGCCACAAGTGTATTTCAAGAGCTGTCAATTGGGTAGCTTGCTTACATCTGTAGCGTAATATCTGAATGAGGATTCTAATCGAGGGAGTGTATTAGGGTTGTAGGGTATAATCCATTACCTACGACATTTATCAAATTCGATGAGTGAACTCTTCATCACAACAAAACAACAAACCAAAGACAAAAAAAAAAAAAATCAACAGAAACAAAAAAAAGTACAAACAATTGAAAAGTTCATCTGTTCCATAAGCAATCATCATCAACAACAATGTCAACATTATTTGGTGCAAAGCCAGCTCAAACCAATACATTTGTGAGTCCATTTGGAGTAAACCAGTCACAACAACAGCAGCAACAACAACAACAACCACAGCCATCACAACAACAAGCATTACAGCCACAATCACAATCAATTCAACAGTCCCAAGTCGGTACTCAACAACTTAACCATCAAAACCAACAACAACAGCCTACATGGTTTCAAAACCAAAAGAAAAGAACCATTCCTAATCATTTAGTACCGAAGAAAAAACCAAGTTTCCATCTTGGTGCCAATAACAATAATTCAAAGAATAAAAAATCGAATGCTCTTCATCCATCTTTGATTTCAGATGATCAATTCAATTTATTATCTTTTGGAACTAATAACCGCAAGACTATAACTGGTCCTCTTTTAGATAAAAATACCAGTGTTGGGAGTTTATTTGATTTACAACTCAGTAATAACACAACAATTGGCGATTTGACAAAAATAGATGAAACATTTGATGGATCTACTGATCACATTGACAGTGATCTTCCACCAAAGAAATCCATGTTTGATTTGGGTACTGAATCCGCTAAAATTTTAACTTCTGATGCTAAACTTGATTCATTTATTCATAAGGATCCAAAAGCTTTTACCAACATCTTTAATAGATCCAGTGATCTTGACGGAAGTAAGGTTGAACAAAGTGCTGAAGATAAAGACCCTGCAAAGATTAATCATTTGAAAAACTATAATCTGGCAATCATTGTTTTTGGATATCCTGAAAGTTTATCCCTTGAAATTATTAAATTCTTTGAAAGCTTTGGTAAAATTTTGGAAGATTTTGATAACGGTAGTAGGAATATGAATTCAACTTTGTTAAATTTGAGTACATCTCAGAACTCCACCAATGGTAAGATCATTCCTATTTTCAGTGGTAAACATTGGATTAAATTAACATATGATAATCCAAACTCCGCTTTACAAGCTTTACAAGAAAATGGTAACGTGTTTAATGGATCTATGATTGGTGTTGTTCCTTATCACAAAAGTATAATTGAAAAATTAGAAAAGAAACAAATTTTTGCTAATGATGACATAGGTGGTGGAGACTTGGATATTCCATTAGATAAAGTTTATGAAATTATAAACAAACAATCCAAAGCTGTTAATTCTCAAGATATTGGAAATTCAACTCAACCTAATGGTGAATCAGCAACTTCATCAAATAATTCTTACATGAATAAATTGGATATAAAACCTGCCGATGATCATTTTTTCTTGAAAAGTGATCAAAATGGTGATAAATCAAAAACCGTGAAAGCAAATGAAACTAAAGATCATGAAAAGTTGGGTATTTTAGGAACCATATCTAAGTATGTCTTTGGATTCCACGATTTATAAATATAGACCAATTAATGTACGTCATAGAAATAAGAATATATATATGTATATTTATTCAACTTTGATATTTATATACACACACACAAAAATGTCTTTTATATATTCTACCTCCAACCAGGTTTCGGCTTCGGAGAATCCGAAGGTCTACGTCTAGTAGGAGAAGGAGATCTAAATACATTGTTCATAAAATTTGATGAAAATGGTTGGGTCGAAGGAGACGATTGATGTTGTAATTGTAAATTTCGATGAACTGGTGATGGTGATTTAAATCGTGGAGGCGAATTATCACGGGAGGAACTGTAACCAGCATACTCTAAGTTAGGCTGTCTAACTGGTGAAAGTCTAGTTGGACTTAGAGTTGGAGGACCTTTGCTATCACTATACCTATGAGTAACCGGACGACGTGATGGACTTGGTGTTCTGTCAAATCGATTGTAGGATATAGTACTCGTCATCGTAGGTGAATGTCCAGAATATTTCGATTGGTCTGGGAAAAAGTTGGAAGTTGGAGTTGAACCAACAATGGTGGTGTGTCGTGGATTAACATTTTGGAATGTAGAGTTTTGCCAATGTGAACCAGTCAAAGAACGGCTATCATCATACAATACACTGTTTGTTCTACTAGGAATTCTCAGATTCATTGCTGTAGAACACACTGAAGTTGCCGGTTCTAGTTGCTGCGGTAAAATTTGTGAATCTAAATCCCCATATTCTGTAATGGCATTACCTTTCAAATCATGGGTCACGAAAACCTTCAGCTTGCTAAAGGCATATGGTCTATTATCACTTAAACTTGACAGATAAAATGGACCCATGGTTGCATCGACCATAGCATCCTTTTTCAACACGTTTATCTTTGGTTGAACAAATTTCTTGTTATATTCCTGGAACATTTCTTGATATAAGATTTGTTTATCACTAACCAAATTGAGAAACTTTTCAATCAAAAAATAGTTAACCCCAGACACAATCACTAATAAAAACAACAAATATAAATGGGAAACATCAGACATTAAGTAATAAACCAAGTATATGTTTATAGGGTTCAATCCTATGAATAGGTATAATGCAAACTTCGATGGATTCCACACATTCAAATGCCAAACTTCGTTGTCTCCAACAACTTCAGAGGTAGTATCACCTTCATAAGTTGTATTGCCTTCATTTTCCTCGTCGTCATCATTTTGGAAGAATTTCAAAACAAATGCCAATAACTCAACAATAAACGAGATATTTTCCAATGAAGATTTAAACACATTCTTGGATCTAGGTTTGGTTTTGCAATACAAAAGCCCATAACTTCTCTTTGAAGTAAACAATTTAATACTATTGATTAAACAGATTATGAAAATCAAAGTGTTTGCACCGTTCATGGCCCAAAGAATACTAGTTGTCAATGGGGTTTCCATAGTTTCCTCGTCAATACTGGTGTTAGTCCTGTCAAAATTGTTGTTGATGAGATCATTTTTCAAATACTCATATTGGTAGTAATCGGAATTAAATAATACATTCTTTGACCTCAGATTGATAAAATTATAGTAGTTCAAGATAGACTGAATGATAAAAAACACCAGTGTCAACACAATACCTAGTGGTAAAGCAATCAAATAATTATAGTCATCCCAGTCTATTGAAGCATGGAGCTCGTGAATATATAGCCAAATATCAAAAGGAAATGACTGGATCTTGGAGATCAAAGACTGTCTCCTTATATGCTTCTTAGACATGGTGGTAGTAAAAAAACAAAATGGAAACAAGCTACAATGTGACGAAGGCAAGGGAATATTTAGCACAACATCTAATGATTAAGATTTGTTGTTTATTTTGAAACGCGAAAAATTTCCCAAAATCAAAGATTTTTCTTTCGTAACTTGTTTGACCGTTTTCGAGTTGACTTTTTCCTTTTGGTGTATTCAAATTAGTCAACATAAATGCTCAGTATGACAGATTCAGAGATATATAACCAAAGGGTAAATAATATGAACTTTAGACAAAAGTTGCGTAATGTCATTAGTCTGAACCAAGAAGTTATGGATGAGAATGACAACAATATGGTGAGACCTATACTTGATGAAGAAACTTACAAGCATTCAATCAAAGAAAAATCCATGAAGGAGCAGTGGAATATGTTAGGGAAAGAAATCAAAACTATCAATAATAATAGATATGAACTACCTTCAAGTAATAGCAGAGAGAATAGCCCAATACCAGCAAAGGAAGAAATCAGAAATCGACACACGTCTGAAACACACAAACAATATACCAGAATCCCCACTGTACCATCCACTTCAAACAAGTCCATGCCTTCTACTATTAAACTCGAGGAGGAGATTCGTCAATTACAAATAACTATTCAATCATTGACTACACAATTAAACGAGAAAGATATTGAACGTAAGGATATAATTGATGATTTTCAGGCAAAAGAGGTTAGAATTATGAAAAGTCGCCAAGAGGAGATCAAGAAGATTACAAAAAGATACGAAAGCAAGATTCTTAGTATACAACGTGATAATGAATTACGTATTGAACAATTAACTACGGAAAGGGATCACTTAACAAAGGAAATCACGAATGTAAAACAGGAAAACCAAATACAGTGTGATAAATTAAAACGTGTCGTGGAGAGCCTATCATCGGAAAATGAGCATTTAAGGTTCGAGAACAAGCGTTTAGCAAGTAAAGATGAGCAAGTAAATTCTGAACAAATAAGATTTAACCAAAGTTTAATGATTGAGAATAAGGAATTGAAACAAACGATTGAAAATATGAAACGTCAAAATGGAATTGTCTACGATGTTGTACAAGATGATAGTGATGATGATGTTGATGAAGAGATTGAAAATGTTCCAAGAAATGAGTTCAAGTACTATGCAACAAAGCCAGAGCAACAACAATATTCGGGTCCAATTATGGATTCATGGTTACCAAATACACCGAAAACATCTTTACCCAACCTACCACTTGAAAATAGCCATGATACTTATTCTACAGAGAGATTGATGAATGAAACTTGGAATTCTGTTGTTCGAGACAGAAATCAAGTAGATCAAATCATACGTGAACCATAGAAATATATCTTATTTAATTACATAGATCTAATATAGTACACTTATTTACTCTCGTGTGAGACTTTTGGACGCAAAAACCTGTTTACATTCTTGAACAAAATTCATAGGAATACCAAAAACTGGATGGACTGGGTTTGTGAATGTATTTTCATCTTTATCTATTTTGACTTCCAATTGAAATGCCAATGGTTCTACAGTGTCATTGTTTAACGTGTATGTATGTTCCAAAATACTAAGACCAGCTAATGAATAGTTTGTGTGATAGAAATCAACATTCTTACCTGGTTTATCTTTAAACCCTCCATTGTCTTCCTGGGCTATTCTTAATATATAGTGTTCTAGAGCCTCTCTGTTGAACAATGGAGTTGTACTTTCATTGAGTAGTTCAACTAGTGGAAATAACGCTCCCACCCAGAAACTATAACATGCATCCACTAGTTTGTTTGTTCTTCCATCCAAACCTCCTTCTAGACCATGTTGTCTTTGGATACACCAGCTGGTCAAAAAATCTAAATTAAATCCTAAATCATCTTCCTTTTGGTTTGATACGGGAAATTTAGAATGTAACAAGAAATAACTAGCAACTGCACAAAAAGTATACCCACCATGTGCTTCAGTATTTGGAACATTACTAAACCCACCTTCATAAGTTTGACACATATCAATCCAATCTTCAACGCCTTCAAGCAATTCTTCAGTAGCAATGTTTAACAAATTTGCAATGATCAATACACAATAAGTAGATCTTGTGTCACTTTCTCCTTGTTCATGCATTAAAAATGAACCATTTGGGAGTTTTAAACTCATTAACCAATCATAAAGATTAAGCCTGATTGAATCCAACAATTCAAATTGTTTAGTTAAAGCCAATGTCAATATCCCCGCATATGTGGATGCAACATGTCCTAACTGATTAGAGCCACCAGCTATACCACCGCGACCATCATCAACAATACATTCCTGAACCTTGTTAACAATAAGATCATTTGTGATTTTGTCAATTGGATCAGAATTGATCAAGTAGTAAGAATTGAGTAACCAGTAAGTCATCCAAGTATGATTGGCATCTAAAACTCGATAAGCACCGGGCATTTTTCTGCTAAATGAGTTAATAATAAACTTCAAATGTGCATCTTTATTAAAATTCAAATCTGGATTATTTGAGTACTCGTCTAGTATTACCAATTCAGTGTCCCTTTGTAGTTCTGTAGTGTCCGATATATATTCTGTATTCTCTGCAATTTCACTTTTATGGGGGATCCAGGAAGAGTCTGTGTTTGATAATGATGAAACCATATCTGAAGTGTTTGTAAATATTTCCTGTGTTGAAGAAGAAGAAGAAGAACTTGAGTTTATAATGTTCATCAAGTATTCAATTTTTGATTTTTGGGAATCCATGTTAATTTATGTATATTTGTGAATAGAAGGAACTGTATAAAGTTGGCAGTTTAAACTTTTTTTTTCACCTCGGGTCATTAACAGTACAACAACAACATGGCGAGAGAGACAGTGAAAAAATAATACTGACAAGAACAGTGTTACAGATTCTTGATTAGATGCTGAAACAAATACCTAATTAGGAGTCGGCAATGGGAACAGGATACAGATAAAACATCAAGGCAAGGAATTGATTCAATGGTTGCACTATTTCTAAATTTAAGCATCACCATTCAAGTGTTCAAAAATGAGTTACTTGTTGCGGTTGTAGATTTTTACTCTCATGTGATAATCACTTCTATTGGGATCATATTAACAATTGCATCTTTCATCTTTTGAATAATATTTCTCTACTGTATGAACTGTTGTTGTCGATTTATGATGTTCAATCATAATCCTCGATACAATGTTGTTCGTCATGAAATCGCAATCAACATAAAATTGTAATAGAAAAAAAAAAAAAAAACTCCACTACGACGGTACACCCAAATCAATCTCTACACCACCACAATTGCCATTGAACTTGTCTACTGATGTCATCTTCAACATTTCCCAACTGGTTGCGTAATTACTTTCAACTGCCATCTTCTTCAAATTCACCGTATCCTCCACTAAATAATAGTGAGAGAAACAACAATCTTCCGGGTTCGTTTCCAAATGAAGAACAAACAAATCTGAATCAAGGACCTTTGGTAAACTCACAAGCAATAAGTAATACCTTTCGCAGTTTTAACTCATGGTTAAATTATATACTTATTCAACCATTGATAATAGTAGTGATGATTGTATTTAGAGTTTTGTCCATGTTGATAAATATCATTTATTCCAAAGACCATACAACTAGACATGACATAATCGACCCAGTGAGTAAAGCAAGTAGGTTTATCAGAGAATTAGAAGAAAATTTGGAACCTCCTCAACTTTATCATGATACTGTTGGTACTACCTCTTCTGCGACTAGTGCACAAGATGCCTCAGATAGATTGCCACCTTTCGTGTTGTCAAGTTATACACAAGCATTGTACTTGGCCAAAACAAGAGCAAAGTTTTTATTTATTTACATAAGCAATGCCCAAAAAGATGAACTATTCAGTAATATTATAACAAATGAAGAGTTTATAAAATTGTTCCTGAATAGTAATATAATAATATGGGGTGGCGATGTGAGAAATCTGGAAGCTTTCCAAGTAGGAAATTCACTTAATGTTACAAAATATCCCTTCCTTGGTCTACTTTGCTTAACAAGAACTACCAAAATGACCCCTCAGGGACCCACAAAGACATCACCCAAAATTTCATTGGTTGCTAAATTACAAGGCAATATCAAATGCACACCTAATTTGATTGAAGAAAAATTCATTAAAAAGATCAAAAAGTATGAAAGGGAATTGGGTCAAATGAGAGAAGAGTTGTATTTCAAAAGTAGACTAACAAACAGAAATCAATAGTGCAACTGAGCAGTGCTCTTACAAATAATATATAACAGATTTAGTACTCAAAAATCTACTATTTATGTGTATATAATAGTATAAACCTATGGCTTGCTTACTTTACCCTTTTTACTTTTCTTCTTGTCTTTCTTCTTCAATCCAATAAACCCATTCTTTAATACTTGTACGTAATCTACCCAAAATTGTTCCAATTGATTATTTTCAACAACTGTGGATATTTTAACTTTATTTTGTTTTTCTTTTTTGTTATTTGATGAATTCATGGATACTCTGACTAGCAATGGATATGTACTTTCATTATTTGATTTGGTTTCATCCGTTGGAGGTATCACATTATCTGGAAGATCATTTTCTTGAGGATCAGAAGTTAATCTCTTTTGAGTTAAGTATATTGATGATTTACCATTGTTATTTTCAACCAACTTTGTAAGTTCCTTTAAGAATTGTGAATTATCTAATCTTCCCATTATTACCACTTAGAATGCTTTTTTTTAATACTAGTATTAGTTGTAGTACAGTAAAACTTATAGCTTTGGTGAAAGTTCATGAAGAAATTTTTTTTTTTTTTTTTTTGCTTGCATTTTTTCTTTCCCTTTGCTTTCTGTTGACCTGTTTCCCGCCGCGGTAGAGGATCAATATTCGTACAGAACTTAGTTCGACAAGTTCGTTTAATTATTAGAAATATAAAGTTACTATTTACATGATTATCTAGATTCTTCATTAAATATCAAAATCAACATTAGGATCTTTAGTTAAATCTACAACCTTCTTACTTCCATCTTTACCATCGACTTCCAAAGAAAACATGTGAATATCAAATGGATGCAATTTGGATTCTCTTGTAGCTCTCAACTTAACAACACCAGTTCCAAGACTACCTTTGACATTGAACTTAATATCTATTTTACCTTGAACAGTATTTAATTGTCCAGAAATCCATGGCCAACTACTACTGAAATCGATATCTTTACCCAAAAGATCAATTGATTCTTGAGAACGTCTCAAAAAGTACAAAGTAGATGTGATAATTGGTGATTGAGTTTTTTCATAGTTGAAAATAATGGCACATGCAACAGTCATACCAATTGCATAAACAACAAAATAACGACGATTAGTCTTTTTCTTAGCAAATGGGTCTGGTAACTCTCTATCAACTGTTACTGGTGGTTTATAGTCTGCGGAAGTTACATTTGGATGTGGAATAGAAATATTTTTTTGGTAAATAACTGGAGTTGTACTTAATAATCGTCTTAATCCCAAGGATTCCAAAGCAGTAAGTCTTGGAGCAATTCTGGCTATTTGTTTAGAAAGCATAATGACTTGCAGGTGCTTTGAATAGGTTAGTTTATGGTCTGATTGTAAAAACAAAAAAAGGATCACTTCGTTTGGTCTTTTTTTTTCTATGTGATTTTTCCTACGTTTTTTTTTTTTTTCAAAGTCCACTCGCTTCGTTGGAGGATTCCTTTCTTCTTTCTTCTTTTTTTCGAACTTCAGTTTCTCATTTTTATGAGATAAAGTTAGTGGAAAATCGATCACCAATAATCAATCATTCCTTTTTATTGTATACAACATAGAACTAATATTAGATCACAATGGATATCGTACGAGGAGCATGTTCCGTTGAGAAAGTCGGGGGAATGGTGTTTATCAGGGAAGATCTTGCTCCCCTGATGTTGGAATGGAAACCAATTGATGAGCAAGAAAAAGACAGATCGATTTCGATACCATTGAATAGTATATCAGCTTTACAAAGTACTAAAGAGACTTCTCCTAAAATGATCTTGAAAGTGGCATATAAAGTCAAACCAGAAGATGGAGGTACAGAAGAAGTAGAGAAAGCTTTCAAATTGACTTTTACAAATAGACCTACAATGAACAACATCAAAGACTCATTACAAACTATTGTGGCAAGATCAAGAACAAGAGTTGAAGGGACAAGTACACCAACACCCACTCCACAACCATCTGTAAATAAAGAATCAACTGCAACACCAGTACCATCATCTGCGATTCCAAGCTCATCTTCATCTTCATTATCATTTCATACATCACAGTCATTATCTGATGCAAACTTGTTAAAAAATTTTGAACTACAGCAAAAACTACTATTGGAGGATCGTCAATTACGTGATATTTTCACCAAATCTGTAATGCAGTTCAAGTTGTCTCCTCAGATTTTTTGGTCATCGAGATTGAACCAATTGCGTACATTTGCATTGACTATTTCTCAGAATAAAGGTCCTTATAATGTCTTGAGTACTATCAAACCAGTTGCTACATCTGATAATCAAGTTAACGTGAATGTTACTCGTGATACGATTAATGAAATTTTTTTGATTTATCCAATTATCAAGAAAGCTTTTGATGATTTAGTGCCAAATAAGTTTAGTGAAGGGGAGTTCTGGTCTAGATTTTTCAATTCCAAACTTTTCCGAAGATTGAGAGGTGATAAGATTAGTATTAATAACAGTAGGGGTGATGTTATTTTAGATAAGTATTTGTACATTGATCAAAACTATCAAGAGAAAGCATCAACAGCACCACAAAAGGAAGATAATGTGGATAATAAACCAGCAAACTCGCTGAAGAAGGGAAGAAAAAGTGGTTTTATTGAACCACCTAAATTTGAAGAAATGGTGGTACCAGAACCAAATATCAGCAAGTTCCTCGATTTGCTTGGTAATGAACAAGATAATTCACAAAAATTAGGAAATCGTCCGGATATTACCATGAGATGTGATGAAGCAGCTCTGAATTTGTTTGATAAACAGAAAAAACCAACTTTTGGTAATGAAAATGAAATGGCTATATTGATGAGAAATATGAATAAATTGTCTACTAAAATGATGAGTATGAGTTCAATGGAAAATAATGCTAAACCAGAAGATTCAGTTGATGGGTTATCAGCAAGTGAAGTCAACGAATATCAAGATGAGTTGGATTTGCATGATTTGAATGAAATTGAGAACTTGCAGTATATCAGATTAAACATTAACCCAGATGTTGCGAAAGGAGTTAACCTTGACAATGGTGAAAATGGTGATAAGAATGTATCTAAAGAAGAAATCAATGATTATTTGCGTTCCCAATTGTTTCAAGGTCAGATCAAATTGACTGATACTTATACATCTAGAAGCGAAGAAATTGAAAGGACATCAATGGAAATTGCCATGTTGATCAAACAAAATTTTAGAACTTTTAAATTGATCAATAAAGAGACAGATTCAACTGGTAATAATATTGTTCCAAATGCATTGATTCAAGAAATTATCACATACAATATCACCATTGTTGAATTTTTGTCACATTTTTGGAAGATTTTTTTGCATGGGAACAATCCAGGTCAACTTAAAAAAATATTTACAAGTTTAAGAAACTGTCAAACTGGATTAACCGAGTTGGAAAATAAAGCTACAGAGCAATTCAAAAGTATGGAAATAATTCGTAGTAATGAAAAGTTACAAGATAAAGTTCTTAAAGAGTTGGGATATTGTCTTCAGCCGATGAAATCATGTCTTGAACAAGCATGTAATGAATATATCAATGCTGTAAGAAGATCCAAAACTGAATTAAACGAGAATGGGAAACGTCCATTACCCGAACAATAGATATGCATACGTATATATAATATAGTAAAAAAAAAAAACAAAAACTAATATTTAAATCTTACACATTAACCCGACCCAGTTATATTCGTCAACGTATTTATCGATATGAACCAATGAACAAGGAAACAACTGATTTAAACGTTGAATTATTTCCATATTTTCTTGTCTTTCAATAAGACATAACATTTCATTAATATCAAATTCATCAATTAACAAATCGATAAAATCAATTAAAAGATGATTTTTGGCAATTTTTAAATAATCTAATAAATTTCTATCAAAAATCAAAGTAATTTCTTTTTTTAAATCAAGGATTCCATATAATTTAAATTGATCAATTTCAACAATCAAGCAATTTTGTTTAACTTTAGAAATCACATTTGGAGGAATTACGAAGTCATAGATACCATTTTATACCTGTGTTGAGATGATGTGAATAATCTTGTTTCTGAGTTTTAGTTATATTTCGTTGTAAACTATTATTAATTGAAGAATTCGAAGGTAAATTTTGTTTAATATTCATAATGACGATGTTGATATTATTGAATAAAAAGAAGTTATTAAGTTGATCAATTGTGGTGTTTGTCTTTGAGGTGTAATTCTTTTTATTTAGCAAAAAAAAAAAAAAAAGGTATTGGGAGAAAAGCAGGGAAAATTATATGTATCGTGATCACGCAAATTTTTCCCTACCTAACTGGGAAACCAATTGAATGCGCTTTTTAACGTGCTGTTATTACGTAATCAGTGATTAAAGAATATTTTTTTAATGTACAGGAACAGAAGAAAAATAGTGACAAGAATATTGTGTAAAAGAAAAATACAAGAGATGAGATGTACGAATCTTTTCTATAGTGAAATTTGTTTTTGTTTGTTTTTTTTGCAATCAAAATATAATCTACATCATTCAATAATGGCTAAGAAAATATCTAAACATAGTAGAGCAGCAAGAAGAGGATTAATAGATGCAGAATCTAGTGCTGAAGTTAAATCATTAGAATCGCTTCCAAGAGAAAACAGTGGGGTTAAGAAATCAATTATTAGAACAACTATTAAAAATGAAAATCTATTAAATAAGAAATTAGAAAAAAATAGAATAAAGAAAACTAATAAAAAGAAAACATCAGCATTGAAACATAAACTTGAAAGATCAGGTAGATTAAGTGGGGTGTTGGAAGCTAAAATTGAAAAAAGTATAGCTAGAGCCAAGTATGTTCAAAATGCTCGTAAATCAGGATGGGATAAGATCAATCAGGGGATCACCATTAATAGTACAGATGCTAAAAAACCAACATCTAAAGATGATGACGATGATGAAGATATCATGGAAGAAGAAGAGGAAGAAGAAGAAATTACAGATATAACACTTGAAATCAAAGATGATAATAGATTCAGAGCCCTTCAATTAGACGAAGAAGATGATGAATAGTGTACAATTTATGTATTAAAAACAAAAAGTCCATCAATATATATATTTTTTTTACACCTTCTATCTAGAAGCAAAGAAAATAGCAATGAAAATTAATGGGAAGATCAAATACCAATAACTAAGGAAATCAATCTTTTCCTCTTCTATGAGATCATCAAAACTTTTTGGAGGAGGAGCAGGTGGGTGTTTAATTTTTAAATTGTTTCTATATTCTCTTTTTTGAACAACTTCCAATTCATATTTTGGTTTCCAGGTAGAGTTACCAATCAATTCAGCTTCTTCAATACTATTTCCCACGTAGATATTATTAAACAGAATGCCGGCATCCATCAGCCATAACTCAAACCCAATGGCAGTAATAGGTTCAATATTTGTGAATTTAGAACTATTCTTGACAAATCTTGGATTAGTGATATTTCCAGCTTTTGCTACTTGTCCATTGATTCTGATAGAAAGTTTCCCGTTATCGATAATCAATGTGTATAGATTTGAAAGTTCGTCTTTACGAGCCATTGGTGGATGTTTCAAAGAAACGTCGCCATCATGAAGTAACATTTTTATGGAATTTGATGTACTACAAATATCTGGACCAAACATCACCTCGTATGAATCAAATGAAAGATCTTCAGGGGATTCTGCAGAAAATAACTTAATGTATGAACCTGAACAATCAATTGAATTTTCAAACTTAACTTCGTATTGAACAACGAAAACTCCATTAGTTCCTGAAACTTCTTTATCCAAAAATCTTGTGATAGCATGATGTCTTGCTCTAGACATCATAGTTAATGATTTATCTCCATCTAATCCACGTGCAACTTTAGAATCTGAATCTTTTAGTTCCCATTCTCCTTCATATGCCATCATTTCTTTTCTTCCTTCATCAAATTTCTTTGATTTTGAAAGCTCCCAAGGAGATGATTTTAAAGTTTCATAATCGAATTGTTCAAAAAATGAGGATGGTGAAAGTTGGGATGTGTCGAATAGTTGATATTCTAAAGAAAATACAAATGGGATCAAGAATGAAAACAAGTATATTCTCATTGGTATCAATTGGTTGTAAAAGATCTTAAAGATTTAAAATTGATTTCGTAACAGAAGAAAAAAAAAAAGAATTATTCAACTCGGTTCTCAATGTAAAGAACAATAAGACAACTCCGCGGTAGAAATTTTGCCTCCAGTTCGTTGTCCATACAATAATCGCGGATTTGTTATTTTACAGTTTTTTCAGGAGATATTTTTAAATACAAATGTAACCTTGGAGAAGTAATTATGAGAATGATAAAAAAATGCAAACTAATATTGACAATTATATAAATATATTTTAATCTACGTAAGTATCATGGGTTTTCAAAGGCAAAGCTTTCAAATGATAATGTCTCTTTCTCTTTTCTTCAAAAGATAATTGTGGTTCAGATTCTTTATCTTCTTCCTCCTCCTCCTCCTGTTCTTCTTCAGCATCATCAGGTTGGTTTTCATCTTTAATCACCAGTCCCCCATGAAGAGATCCCAGGACATCATGTGGAAGTTTATCAAATTCACCTTCACCTAATTCAAACGCAGGAATGTCATTAATATCTTCTTCATTATCATCTCTATAATATTCACCTTCTGGATTGAATCCACCTTCATATGGAGTTTTTGGTTCATCAATTTTCATGGTTGCACTTTTTTCTTGTTCATTCTTGTATAAATTTATTTCATCCCATTTCAAATGTTCGGGAGTATCGGTATTGATATTTTGTTCTTTCTTTTTAGCAGCAATCTTGGCTCTTATTTCATCACCAGCTGTACTATTACCTGATGCCAATTGAGCATTTAATCGAGTATTTTTGATAACTTCATTACGATCTAACTTGTCTGAAAGTTCTGTTTCTTCATGATACTCTTCAGGTCTATTTCTCAAGATTCCTCTAGGATGTTCGTCTGACATGATTTATGTATATATATATATATGATGGTGTTGCAAAATGTGGTAAATAATAGTAATTGTTTCTAAGGGGGAGAGAGAAAAGAACCAAATTGGCGACAATAGGTGATTCGTTTCAATCTCAAAGTTGAATTGTAACAAAAAAAAAAGTTTGTGACTTTCTCCCCTGGTACGTCGTGTGAATGGACTAAAAATAGAATCACGTGATTCAACAAATATAGAATGTTTCTACCAATTGCACGTGGTCTAGCCATTGGAAGTAATATATCTCATTTGAAGTATTTCAACGGTATTAAAAAGATAAAGCAAAGTAGAATAAAGTAGCAGGTGATCAATAATTCTTGATATATTGTCTTATTGAGAGGGATAAACTGTATTATTCTTGAGTTGTGACAATAACCAAGTAATTAACCGTAGTTGTTTAATACTGAAACTGGGATACGAAGAATAAACTTTTGATACATTGGTAAATATAGTTTACAGGACCAATTACGGTTCAATGATTTGGACGTTCTTTCTTTGAAGCACGTTTCGTGTGTCTACCAAATATTGAGTGACATATAGAACAATCCATGCAACTCATCATTGCGTATTCTAAACTGAATAAAACTAAGTAATAGCAATAATAAAATGGTTATGGATCGTTGTTCATTGGGAAATCTTTTTACTTAAAGGAGTTTCATCATAAGAAGAGCAATTAGTATTCAATATTGACCTCATTTTGGTTCTTTCTTTCCGTAATATTAAAGTTTGTTATAGCCGTTAAATAACCCAATTCAACCATACTTTTTGACCAAAAATTTGTTCACTCCACTTCAGGATCAACTACAAAGAAAATGTCGAAAACTTTATATTGGGTGTAAAGTCAAAACAAAAAGATTGATAATTTTATTTGTCCATATACTGGATGAAGATTTTCTTGGCTTATCGAAAAGGAAATAGTCGACCACGAATGTTAATTGATTTATTATTTGAACGGCGATCATTACTGACCTAGATATTCTACAATAATTACATAACAATTATGTTAAATCACACCATCATTAATTTGGTACCTAATTGGCTTATTCAAACCAATAACGTGTTTGTTTATGACAGATAAAGGGGTGATTTTTGTTTGTCAAACACTCTTGTGATATTATCAATAAATCAAGAACCGAATTTGAAGAGAAAACTAGACACCGTTCCGAAGAGTTTCGGATAGTCAGGTAAGAAAGTCGGAAAGCATTTACATTTAATCTTGTGTCTACTAATCACGTGTCTACACAAAAAAAAAACTATGGCTGCGATAAACTTAATTAATGAAAAAAAGAAAGCCATAGTTTTTTACTTTGATAGAAATCAAATTATATTTTTCTGTTGCTTGCTTGCTTGCTTGGTTCGTAAGACTTGACCAATTGTTTAAGGTTCATTAAATATTATTTCAAGTCCATGTTTTAAGCTATATATATAAAAAAATACTTTTACTTTAACTCGTCAACTTAATAAAACCAATTAATTATTATTCTTTTTGATTTAGTAACAAACTTAAATAATTTCTTGATTTAACCATTGACTTGTAATTATGAGACTCGTTTTTATTTTTTGCAAGTCGTGTTTGTGTGTTACAAAATCATTATTGTTGCATACTTTGTTTTACTAAAAGTCACGTGTGATCGCATTATCGATTGAGAACCTAGTTTTCTTTATTTGTTTGCCTTTTAGTATTCCATTTTACCCCCAGAAGAAATGCACTATCCTGGTATCAGTTTACTCCAGGGAACAAAAACCTTAAAATTGCAGAAGGTATAAATAATGGTATTATTTCATCTAATCAGATATATTCAATTTTAATACCAGAAAAAAAAACTTCTTTCTTGTTATATCTGGCTCATTAACTAGACGATATATTCTATGATTAATTCAGATACTTATATAAATTTACAATGACAACAAATACGAACGAAGAAGCAACATCGGCTGCTTTATTAGAACAATTGGTTTATATTGATAATTATATAAATGGAGCATCTACTGATTCATCTAATGCCACTCCTAATTTGGATATCGATGGACAACTAAGTTTAGATTTGGCTGCTTTTGCAGATGATTCATTTATTTTTCCAGATGAAGAGAAGAAACGTAATCACAATGGTCAAAATGAAGGAAGTAGTAGTGATAATAGTGATAATAATAATAATAGTAACAGTAACAACAACAATACTACTGAGAATGATAGAAATTGGAATTTTCATGATTTTAATCAACACATACAACCACAACAGCAACCACGTCATCACCAACGAGAACGTAGTCTACAGCAATTTCCACGTCAATCTAGCCAACCTCAGAACCAAAATTTCATTAATCAAAATAATCTTTTTAGTAGTGGAATAATAAAACAAGATACACATGATTTTAATAGTATAGATCCACAATTATCTTCGACTACATCTACATTTATGAATTTAACAGATTTACCTAAATTTCCTGTACCTCCAGGAGCAAAATCATCATTAGTTAATGCTGGATTATCACAGAATCAAATTGATTTATTAAGTGCATTGGTTGCACAACATCAAGCAAGTTTAGGTAATTCAATACCAAATCAAACTCCTCCAATGACAAATACAACTATTACTACTCCAGTATCAGTATCTCCTACTGAATTACCTACTCGTCCGTATTCATCTACTCATAGACTTCTGACATCTTCAAATCTGAGTAGTACTACTAGTTTATTAGATCCTATTCCTTCTTCTTCATCACTGACTATTTCTCAAACCAATGGATCAGCAGCAGATTTGGATAAAAAGAGAAGAAATACTGCTGCTAGTGCTAGATTTAGATTTAAAAAGAAATTGAAGGAAAAACAAATGGAAACTAAGATTAAGAATCTTGAAGATTTGATTGTTAGTTTAGAAGGTCAATTAAACAATTTAGAAATGGAGAATAAATTGTTAAGAAATCTAATTATTGAAAAGGGAAGTCAAAAAAGTGATGATGAAGTTAAATTATTAAGAGAAAAAGCAAGAATGGAATAGGTTTAATGATTCTGGAAATTATTTATAAATATTCCCATCTTAGTTATATACATGTATAACATATATATATATATAATAGTTATTTATTCAAAAGTCTATTTGCAACCTATGGAATGTGTTTTATATTCCAATGTATGTATTTTTGTGATAGTATCATGGTTGTCATGTCTGCAAATGCAAGAGAACAAAAAAAAAAAGCAAAGATTACTCCAAGATCTAGAATTGATAATGGCTAAATTGCACATCATTATTGATATATATACTGATTATGATTGTATATTCCAATAATACTAATTTCTAACCAGTAATTAATTGAATATTTGATTCGTCATTATTACTATAAATCCACGGATATACTTGGATTGTGGATCTTTCCCAATCATGAGATTAAAAGCAGACGTTAAATGGGTAAAAAAAAGGAAAACCAATAATAAATATATATTATCAATCCCAGGGCTGCTTAACCAAAAATAGAAGTTTTTTGAGTAAATTTTTCATTTATTCTATTGGTAGCATCGGAGATGAAGGGGAGAAAAGAATGATTACTTTGATTTTCTTATTTCTTCAATAAAGAGAAATGATAAAAATAACTGGTGATGGTAAGTAAATTTGATTTAGTGTTACAGTTTAACAGCTTTCAAGAGCTCTTTCTTTTTTTTCTTTTGTCCTACCCCCCCCCTTGCGTCGCCTACATGTAAGAGTATGTATGTATGAATTTTATTTTGTGAGTTTAATTCCTTTTGGTTATTGAAAAGATAAACACTGTTCACATTACAATGATGATTCGTGACCACAGTAACAATTTTTTTTTTCACATACAAGATAGATAAAGAGTGGGGGGAACATTATTATCTGGTGACTATAAGTTGAGGTAATCTAAAGCGAGCAAGTGGGGGGGAAAGAAAGAAATTACCTTCTCTTCAATTACTGAACCCTGACCTTCTATGTAGACGCATAATAATTATCGGTAATATTGGGGTTATAAATTAGAATGACTGTGATTCTGGTATTTTAAGTGATATTGTCGTGAAACTGATAAGTAGTTGTAAAATGAAAAAATAAAAGATGCAACAAAACTGTAAAACTTCATAAACTGTTTTTTTGTGTTGGATAAGAGCTATTTATAAACGAAGGTTAATTTTGTTTTTGTTATTATTCGTCGTAGGGACAAGTAAAAAGAAATGTTATCATCCGTATTAGCTTATCTTATACTAAAACAAAAATATATATAGGTATTCTCATCATCAATCAGTGCTTTGGTTTTTGTTCATTACAGTATCTTTTGTGAGTTTTCACATACATTCAGTGTGTATATGGAGCTGTACATATTTAAACGCCTTGCCGCAAAATTCAATGAGAATTGAAATTTTGGTTCAATTTAGTCAATGTCGTGCATCTTGCAAGTGAAGCATGAAAAAAAAAAAATAATAATAATTCGCGACATTTTTGAATTGACAGTTTTTGCAGTATGTACAGTATGTACCAACTAAAAGAACAAGAACAAGAAAAAAAAAACATTCAACAAATTTTTTATTTGAACATGGACCATTGTAAGAATGAAATGAAGTTTTACTATTTGGTGGAAAGTTAAACCGTCTGAAACTTTAGAACCAAATTCAATTGAAGTTTAGCTACAACTTTTCTTTCATTATGATTTGAGTTATCTATTATATAGATATAAAATCACAGACACCCCTTTAAAAATGTAACCAGTTTATTCATACAAAGAAAATAGACTAATCAAGATGAAATTTAAGTAATAATATATTCACAGATATAAATATGATATATATATATCTACAAAAAGAAGGAAAGAAAAAGAAAAGCTCAAAACTAGTGGAATATGAAATTTCGGGGGCTAGAGAAAGAATTCTAGAATTGCTCTTTTTGGGGGGCCAGCAGCATAAGAAGAGAGATGGATTTATTCTATCTTTATTTCTGACTTTTCATTTGACCAAAACCGTAATTAATAAACTTGTATATACTTTTTTAATATACTTGATCAATAATACAAGAGAAAACTATGGGAATGTATAATCTTTATAAACAATTTGCAGAAAGGTAAAAAAAATATGAAGATGATGAAGATGATAATTTTTATTGAAGGAGAAATAAGAAAAAGTGCAAGACAGTATTATCCGTAGTTAGCCTTTTCTTTTTTGGGAAGAAATAAGTAGAAGGTAAAAACCCCCTTGTTTTAAAACTGGTGTATTTTTGGGGTAGTAGTTCTCTTTCTTTTCAGTTGTTGACGACATTTATATGTATATGCCTATAAATGATAATTGATCAATCACGACTTGTCTAAAGTTGTTTGGAATTGGGTTCTTTTAGTTGATGATTTTTAGTAAAGAAAAGCTAAGAGTGTATCAATTTATTTTACCACCCCCTTATTTTGCGTTTGTGCGACATTTGCGACATGATTCATTTTTTTTTTTTTTTTTGTTTAATTTGCACTTTGCTACACACACAATAACAAATCTCATCACTTTAATATACACACACAAGCGCTATCTCTCTCTCTCTCTCTGTCTCCCCTTTAAATTCAGCACAGAGAAAAAAAAATTAATGAAGAGAGGGCATACGACATTTTCACGTAATTTGTTTTATTTTTTTTTTTTCATTTCCACATCTACAAGAATTTAGATAAAATCACAACCTTAATTCAACTTATTCTGGTTCTTCTTTTTTTTTCTATTTAAAAGAAAATTTTTTATGAGTCCCAGTTTCTGTTAGATTGTTATCATGGTAGCTACAAGAGGATCAGCAGGAAAACACATAGACGTTGAGCTAAGTGATAATGGGAAAGAGCTACAAAAAGTGATCCCCATAGAAAAACAGCGACAACTCCAAATGAAGCAACATCAATCGAGCCCCAAAAAAGAAACAAGAGGGAGAAAGAAAAAAGATAGGAATCTGGATGAATTGGGTACATCTGTCAATAGTAGTGAATCATCAAGTTCATCTCCTTCAATTAAATCTCATCCTCGATCTCCCCTTACTGATGCCGCTGCCGCTCCCACTCCTGTCAAGCGAACTGAAACCAGGGGACGGAAAAGAAAAATTCATGATGCAACAGATGCCACTCTACAGCAACAACAACAACATCATCATCATCATCGTCAATTTGACGAACAACAACAAAATAGAAAGAAACCGCACATGACAGAGAATCTGTCTGACAATAATATCTTATCAGGGTTTCAAACAGTCGCACTGCAACAAACTCATTCCGCAACATCTGTTTCACCTGTTGGTTCCACCAACAATGTGGTTGCTGACAAACACAAAATCAACCATCTATTAACAAGTGATTCACCACCTCCACCACCCGTTGCAATCGTGGATAATACCTATAGTTCGTCATTTACGTTGCCACAAAAGTCTTTACCACCAACAAATTTAATAACCTTACCAGCCCCTCAATTATTGAACAACCCGATCCCTTTAAGACCGGTACTTCCAACACCAAGAACTTCTTCAATTTCAACTGCGGCAAACACCACAAATATGCCGCCTTTGGTTTCAACTAATTCCGTTGCTTTATCCGATTCTTCTAGTACCTCACCAGCTTCATCGGTATCGTTTCCTAATGCAACTGGGGTTGCTATGAGTGTATCTGAGGGTGAAGAAGGAAATGACACAGTAACATCTGGTCAAATACAGTTGAATACAATTACAAAACACTCAAATGGACGCATACCTATCACATCAATTATTTCACAAAAAATAGATCTGCAAGATATTCCATTATTATTAGATGATGACGGTAATAGTTCCAATAATGAAAACAAAAAGACTAAAAGAAGATATAGAGTTGATCGTGACAATATAAAGATCAATAAAAGGATCATGTCTCAGGATACTGAGGATGTTATTAGAATGTTTAAAAAATTTGATGATGAAGTTTTAACCAACCCAGAAGCAAGATCTCGATTATTAAACTTGGGTTTTGAAACCAGAAAAAGGTACATTACTACATTTAAACACTACATTAGGTTCTGTTGCAAGAAAAAACTTGATCATTTTTTTGTAACTGGAGAGTTAATGAGAGAATTTTATGAAGAACAATTTGCACTTAGTAGTTCAAATAAACCGGTTATAAGGTTGAGAAAAATGGATCCAGCATTTTCAAAATTGCAAGAGATTAATTTTTTGGTGTATCATTTGGAAAATAAGGATATTCCCAATAGACAACTTGCTTTGGAATATTTGGTATATAAAGAATTGGGTCAAGAACCCCCACCTTTGAAGAGGGAAAATTATATTCCTAGTCCAGTATTTCCGAAAACTGTTGCGCCGCCGCTTGCCACCGGCTCACCAACTACAATTGCACATAACCTGTCCAAACTAGAGGATGAGAAACAACAGCAACAACAACAACGTGTTGATTCACCAATAGTTGGCTCGGAAATCAATACTCCTCAAAGGCCACTAACCGCAAGAGTGCCGCAGACGGCTCCTCCAAGTTTAGCAGTGCTTCAACAACCATTTGATCAAGGAAAAGATGGATTGTTAGTTAAAATAAGAGATATGCAAGATTTGCAACACGTATCAACATCGTCATCGGCAAAGATTGACGGTATATCTGGTAAGAAAAAGAAACACAAACACGAATCTAAAAAACATCAAAAGCAAAAGAGATCAAACACTAGCAGTGAAGACACTCTGTCATCCGACTATAATAATAATAATAATAACAATAACAAGAAAAACAAGTCAAATGATCTTGAAAGTTCATTCAATAAATTAAAGATGGATATTCAAAATACATTGCGTCAACATGTTTCTGCAGATCCCGCATTTATTTCAAATTTAGCAACTTGTATTAATCAAGCGTTGGAAGAATTTGAACGTGCAAATAATTTGCAGCCAAATTTAGAATTGAACAATAATGGGATTCCAATAATTGATTTGAATAATAAAATTTATACGGTTTATGAGATAATTGAAGAATGGTATAAGATTGAACCATGTATTGCTGATCGGTTGAAGAAGTGGGGTGAATCTTGGATAAGGGATTCTATTGATCATAATACTTTTTTAGAAAGAAAAAGTGTGGTTGAATTTGTTGAAAAAATGGGTAAAGAATTAAATGTGGATATTCTCACTATTGTCAATGATTGTGATCGATATATTCATGATAAGAGTATTCTTCAAGAATTCATTGCAGAAATTGATTTAGATGTTGATGACTTGTTTAAGAAAGTTTTAAGATATAGACAAAGAAGAAATTGAAATTAGTAGAAGTGGAAATAATGAATATTCATATTGAAACATAGATTTTATCTTTAATAAAATAATTGACAAATAATAATAATAGTAGTAAAAACAATATTAAATTAATATATTTATTCAAGAACTATACAATTAAAATCGAAGAATATTTACTACCAATTTCTTTCATCTACTTTAAAACCTTCAGGTAATGATTGACTTAAATTAATTGAAGCCATTTCTCTTTCTTCATTAGCTAAATCCCTCATTATTTCCAATGAACTTTGTCTACGAATCAAATTTGGTCTTTCTTGACTTGTTATAGAACCATTTGATATTGATCTTGATATTGAACCTGATATTGATCTTGATATTGAACCTGATCGTGATATTCTATGTAAACCAACATTATTTATTTCTTCATCATCAAAAGAATTTCTAAAAACTGGAGATAATGAACTTGATCTTCTTGATCTTATAGGTGATATTGTTTTTGTTCTTGATCTTATTGGTTCTATTATATTATCATTATTATCATCATTATCAATATTTAATAATGGATCAATTGAAGAATTTAATCTAGGTTGATTAATTTTTTGATTTGATAATTCAGATTCTTTTTTATCTATTTCATGTTGTTGTTGATTATGATGTTGTGATTCTGATTGAATTTTTTCCTTTTCACGTAGAATTAAATCATATGGAGTAGGTGATGATTTCCTTTTATGAATTTTAAATCTTTGAATAGCTTTATTTAACCACATAATAACTAATAATCAAATTTATGTATTAATTGTAAGGAATTTTGTTGTTTGTTTTTTTTTTAATGATAATGGTGTGATCCTCCTCCCACCCCCCAGTTTTTATTTTAATTTTAGATCATGTGCCCTTTGGATCCTTGTTTTTTTTTTTTTTTTTTGCGGTGGTGGTGGTAGTGGTGCAAATCGCAGCCACTTTTGATTCTTTAAGCCTCGTTGGAAATTTGATTCATAAATGACGATAAATAATTGATCATGAATTAATGAATAAGTAAGTAAATTGTTCAATAAAATATATTTGGTCTTGAAATGGTTATACACGAATGTTGCATGAAATTCTTTTTTTTTTTAACAGTTAGTTATTTCATTCAAATTGGTAGCCTTAAATCTGGGGGAGAAGTGGATAAACGAGGTACAACTAAAAAAAAAGAGAGGTTGTTTTATGAAAGGGGGAAGGAGGGAATAGTTATGAGCATGGATATCGGAATGGTTTGATATTTTGTTAGAATGATACTTTCATAAATTTTACTCCACTACTTTGTTTGACTATTATCAAGATAGGGGAGGTTGGTTTTTATTTAGTAAAGATTTTATAATATCAGAAACCCAACCAACTCCGATGGTTGATAACGATTATCACTGTTTGTTGACCTTATCAAGAAAAGAGGAGAAGAAGAAGGGGAGGAAGTAGTAGTAGAAGTAGTAGAAGAATAATAGGATAAATTCGGAATATATTCTATCAATATATATGTCTATAGTGCCCCACTTTTTAATCCTGTCTGGACACTTTGGTTAGAAGTATTACTACTATAAACTGGATTAGGTATTCCTATCCGTGCATTAATATGAGACAAGAAAGTTTTCTACCCCATGAAAATTAACCAATTTTGTAAATGCCGTATATTTTAGTTGAATTCACAGAACTGGAACTCCGGTTTAAGTTGTTTAACAATGACGTTTATGCTATATACCCACAATTGATCTACACAACACACTTGTTGTATAGTTGTTGGTAGAATTAAGTAGAATCGTACAAAAGCTTTTTTATTTTTTTATAAAATCTCTCAAACGTATTGATACAATATGTAGAGTGAAAAAAAAAAAGTAATATACCCCATGAATAATGTAAATTTAATAAAAATCTGGGGAACATGAGATGAAAATAGTCATTGAAACAATGAAAACAAGAACAAAAAATAACGGTTGAAATGTAAGATTTATTTATTGCTAATTATCGTACCATTTAATTTTGGATTTCTTACCAATTTACCATAAATTAAACATGTAGCCGTTGGATCATTCTTCCATTTGACCATTTGTGACTCGTGATGTATGATCTTTAATTAATTGATGAAGAGTGAATTAAGAAAAAAAAAATCCTCTTCTATTGATGTGTGGTTCTCTTTTTGTGATTCCACGGGTATGGTTTTCTAACTAATTTATACTATTTTAACCGATGGTGCATACAACAGCAAATGAAAATTTCTCCGGAACTTTAAACCCGGAGAACTTGACCGAACTTCCAATTGTAGTTACAGAAACAATGAAGCAAAATATTTGGCGGAGGTGGGGAGCCTACAATTCGATTGCTAAAATTCGTTGAGATGAGACGGTTACACAGATACTGAATACTCAACATAATGTTCTGCTGATAAGATGTGTTCCTTTGTTCAAACTCCATCCAATCAGAATCAACTCTTTTCATGCATTTCTTTTTCTTTTTAGTTCGAGTAAACATTTAGCCGTTTTCATTATTAGGTATTATTATTCGATTTTATTCTACACACTCTCTCTCCCTTTGATTGGAGTATTTGATCATTACATCTTATTGTAACTTTGTATTATTGGTGGTAGTTTTCACTTTCGAACTCAGTGATAACCACCTCGGAAAATTGCTTGCCATTTCCAGTAATATGATGCTGTCCAGTTTCCTAACAACCCCCCCCCCTGATTAGAAGGGACAAGAAATATTATTGACATTGACATCTATCTACCAAGCAATTACTCCAACAAATAAGGAAAAGAACGAAAGAGCAATCTGGCAGAAAAAGAGCAAATTTGTTTTTTGTTCTTGTTTTTTTTTTTTTTCTTGGTAAAGTGTTCCGGCAAGTGTTGGTTTTGCTTTTGTGGGTGCAACTAAAAAAAAAAGAAAAAATTCCTCCGCCCCACCAATACGTTCCAAGTGCTAAACTTCTCTCCCCTCCCCCGCCCCGCCGGGTCAATCAAGAATAATAATAATATTATAGTTCTGCTCCCCTTTTTATCCCTACCTCATTGAGGATAATATCGCGGCTACACAATGATGTTTCATTAATATCTCTCCTTGTAGGTGATCTACATTGTCGTACTTCATATTCATCATTTGTTGGGGGAGATTAAAGACAAGACAGAGAGAGAGGTTTATCTCTCTCTCTCTCTATTTCTATTTGTCTCCCACTTACAAATCATTAATCACCCAACAATATCCATTGCTATCTTTTGTTTTTTTTGGTTTTTATTGAATCATAGGAGATGACTAAAACTATATTTGATTATGTGTTAACAAACAATACACAAACCTCCAAATTCCTGACTAATGAAAAGATTTTGTGGTTCCATATGTGTATTAATTCTTTCCCCACCACTCATATAAATCATTAAGCCTACTTCCCGTGTTTGTGTAACTTTCATGGGTTTTGGCTAATTTTTTTTTGAATATTAAACTTCAATCCTAAAATTACACTTGAAGCCACTTGATAATAATATCCACGCTTATACTTAAGAACTTTGTATAAATACAGCTCATCTTGTCCTTCCATGTTTGTAGAAATTTTTATTCTCTTATATTTTAAAACAACAACAATCTCTCTTACCGAAAGATATATATTTATATATTTATTTATTCAATATGGCTGGTTCCATTCATTCACTTTCAACTAATGAAATTCACGATCACAACAAACATATCATTCAACCACCTAAATTCACATGGCCGGTTATTCGTAAATATTTCATTACTCGTTTTTCTTCATTATGGGTTGGACGTGAAGAATTACAACAATATTCATGGAATGATATTTTAAATCCTTTTTCACCTTTAACAGAAATGAATTTACATCAATGGAATTTTTTCTTTTTAGGTTTTTGGGCATGGACATGGGATGCTTTTGATTTTTTCACTACTTCAATGAATGTTACTAATATTGCTGAAGATATGAATGTCAGTGTTAAAGATGTTTCTTGGGGTATTACTTTAGTTTTGATGTTGAGAACTGTTGGTGCTATTATTTTTGGTCTTTTGGGTGATTCTATTGGTAGAAAATGGCCATATATGATCAACTTGGGTCTTTTGATTGTTATTCAAATTGGTACTGGTTTTGTCACTACTTATGAACAATTCTTGGGTCTTAGAGCTTTATTCGGTATTGCTATGGGTGGTATTTATGGTATTTGTGCTGCTGAAGCTTTAGGTGATGCTCCAAAGAAAGCCAGAGGTATTTTATCTGGTTTGTTCCAAGAAGGTTATGCTTTTGGTTATTTATTGGCAGTTATTTTCCAAAGAGCCATTGTTGATACTACTGCCAAAGGATGGAGATCTCTTTTCTGGTTTAGTGCTGGTCCTCCAGTTATTTTCATTATTTGGAGATTCTTCACTCCAGAAAGTAATGCTTATCAACTTCAAAAGGCAAGATTTGATAAAAGTGCTCAAGCTAAAAACTCCAAATTTGTTGAATTTAGATCTCAAGCTAAAAAAGCTTTATCTCAATATTGGTTGATTATTATTTATTTGGTTTTGATGATGGCTGGTTTCAATTTCTCTTCTCATGGTTCTCAAGATTTGTATCCAACCATGTTGACTAAACAATACCATTTCAGTGAAGATAAATCTACTGTGGTTAATGTTTGTGCCAACTTGGGTGCTTTAGCCGGGGGTATTGTCATTGGTCATTTGTCTACTTTTATTGGAAGAAGAACTGCTATTTTATGTGGTAATATCATTGCTGGTATTATGATTTACGCTTGGGCTTTCCATCCAATGTGGATCACTGCTTTCCTTATGCAATTTGGTATTCAAGGTTCTTGGTCCGTTGTTCCAATTCATGTTTCTGAATTGTCTCCACCACAATTTAGTGCTTTTATCGTTGGTGTTTGTTATCAATTGGGTAATTTGGTCAGTTCTGCTTCTTCAACCATTGAAGCTACTATTGAAGAACAAATCCACGATTATGGTAAAACCATGGCTATTTTCATTGGTGCTGTTTTGGGTTATTTGATGCTTACTGTCTTCCTTGGTCCAGAAAATAGAGGTGCCGCATTGGGTGTTGAAAGAAATGATGTTTACAGTCATTATGATAGTGGTAGAGAAAGTGATCTTGAAGAAGGACAAGTTATTGATGCTTTAGATAAACCACAACTTGAACATAAAGAAGAAGCTTAAGGTAAGTGTCTGTCTCTCTCGCCTTCCTCCCTCCTTTATGTCATGTGATTTATAGGTTAATATTATTCACGTACGTATCAGTTACTGTTTTAATGAAATTTTTAGTTTGCCTTGTATCAATTTTTTTTTTTTATTTATTTTTCATGCGCCGCCATTGTTTGCAACAACGCTGCCGTGCTTTGATATGCGTGACAAGATTTATTCGTATTATGATAAATATCAAACAAACAAACAAAGAAAAATATAATCTCCCTATTCTTCTCTCTCTGCCTCTCTCTCTTGCCCTCCCCCTTGCCTTGATCAGTTCAGTTTGGAGGAAAAGAGAAAGTGCATACATCCCACCTTTATTTTTACTTAATTTTTATTTTGTTTTCTTACAATTCATTTATTCCTACTTTGATATATATTCAAAAAACTCCTCCTTTTGGTGAAATAGTTCTACAGTTTTATATTTTTGTATATTTTTTTTGGGGAGAAATGGAAACCATGTTTAGTTTGTTTTCGATGGAGTTCTTATTGTTTAGTCTCATTGGATTGGCTTGTGCCGTTGAATTTTTTGATAAGCAAAAGAGACTACAACAAGAACGTCTATCTTCACCACCTCCATCACTACAAGAAATTTACACATCTCCAACTATACATCGAGAACAACAGATCCTTCAAGAAGAAGTAGAAGATGATGATGATAATAATACTGATTTTGATTGTCAATCCCAAGTTGATCCTACCCCTGATTATTATGATACAACTAGTCTGACTAGCGTTGTGGGAGATATAGATCTTTTCTACGAACCTGGACAACCTGGTCGAATAATGAAATATGAGCCTCCTCCTCCTTATTCATTATATCCTCATGGAACAAGACGAAAATTGGCAAAGAATAAAATTAAAGGTGCATGTAGAAGATTAATGAGATTGGGTTAGATTTTTTTAAAAAAAAAAAAACTTTTATATATTTACGTATAAATTCATGATAATATAAATGTGTTAATGTTAATAAAACACTTGTAATTGGGTATCTAATTATTATTGTTTGTTTAGAAAATCAAACCAGCAGCAACGGCAATCATACCAGCAACACCGTAGGTAACTTTAGCAGCAGCACCTTCATATGAAGAAATGCTCAATGTACTGTTACTAGAAGTAGTAGATGTAGTTTCTTGTTGTTCTGGTTCTTCTTCTTCAGTTTCATCATCATCACCAAATTTAGCATAAAGTTTAATTGGGATAGATCCATCAGTTTCATGATCAATTAAAAAGAAAGATCTTTCTGAATAACTATATGGATCATTAATATTCTTGGCAGCATAAACATCACCATCAAATTTAAGTTCACCATCATCACTAATTTCAACTGGAGTTGAACCACCTGGAGATAATTGATAAATACCTCCAGAAACAGTGAAATTAATTGGGACATCCATAGAAGCTGTTTGTAACATTAAATAAATGTTTTTGGCATCAGAATCATATTGTAATTCTTGACCATTGGTACCTAAGAAAAGATAATTGATGGCAGCACCTTCATGAATTGAAGAAACACCCAAGTTGTTAACTTCAGTGTTGTCAGATTTGACATATAAAGTAATGTTGGAGATGGAAGCTAAAGCAACAGAAGCAAGTGGTAAAATAGATAAGAATTTCATTGTTTTTTATTCTCAAATGAGGTTGGAATTGTGGAGTTAGAAACAATTTTTCAGTAGCAAGGGGGAATTATCATGACTATTTATAGTGAAAATTCCTTGATGATTATTAATAGCAATGAAGGCAATCCAGTTGCCATGGATGTGTGGGTGGGTTGATTAATTGGACTAAACGAACAAAAAGGATTGGTGCATAATTTCAATTATTTCATTGTTCACAACATATTTTTGTTCTATTATTATTATTATTATTATTGTCTTTTATTGTTTGGCCCTCTTGTACACATTATTTCTCGATATTTTGTTTTCTCCAAAAATAGCAATTTTCATTCTCTTTTAGGAACATTGAATAAATGAGGTCATACCTCTCTCTCTCGATCTCTCTCTCGCTCTTCGTTTCCCGGACTTTAAGTACAAAATTAATTTTCTTTAGTCCATCCATTATGAAAACCCAATTGTTAGAAAGTTATAAATGTAAAGTTACATAATTGGTTTGCTTTATGTTTGATGACGTCTTGGTCACATTAATTGCAAAAAGTACCCTTTTCTTGAGTTTGGTCGTTTATGTTTCGTAATAAAAATTGCGCAATTACGGATAATTATAAAAACTTAAGCCGATCCGAGCCTCAAAGTATCATTAGTCACAAAACTTTAACCAACAGCAAAGTTACTTCCAAGCTGAATTATAATTAGATTGCGTATCCATTGATTATTTTGAAGTTTCTTCATTTATGTAACTCCATATCCTTGTCTCTGAAAAGCAGATATATCGCCAATTCAACCTGTCTGACCTAGAATTCTTGTATTTATATGACTCTTCTGACAAGAATACTTGAAATATGGTTGATAAATAAATGTTATTCATTATAGGTGCCCATACTGGGAAATTTGAAGTCTTTAAATATCTGAGTGCTTTACTTTGTTTAGTGGTAATAGAATTTATATTAGTTGGTAAACTATTGTAATTAATTGTTGGATTGTATGTTGGTTAATTGTTTGATTTCATGATAAATTTGAGCTTAATTCAAAGTAAAAAAAAAGTCAAGTGAACGAATTTATAGTTAATTAAATATCTTTTGCACTCACTTGTGTATTGTTATTCATTTATTGACTATTACATAACCACGAAACTGATGATGTATGTCTTATAAATAGTATTTCGTAGTTGCCTGGCTGTTGTCATCAAAGTTGATTACAAACCATCAACTCCTAAATTTTAAGTCGCAAAATAAAAATAGATTTTCTGATCACAAAGCTGATGGGTGAAATGGTATTATCTTGTAGTGATATGAAATCATGGTCATAAATCATGAATGAGTGATTACCTAGGAAGATAATAATATTTAGCATACAAGTAGATTTATACGCAAAAAAAAGTTAAGGGATTTTAAAATTCAAGTATATCACTTACTAATAAACACACTATATTCTTGTGGGATAACTATTATGTATGATCATTCAGAAAAACAGAATAATCTTGGTAACCAGATGGCTCAAAAGTAAGACTAATTCATCTTTTTTTCTTTTCTGGAACTTGATATACCTGTTTTATTTCGTTCTTTTTATTTTTTATTAGTTTTATTTTACTGATTTTCTTGTAAATCTTTATCTCTTTTTAATACAGCTGCCACACAAATGGTCACCAATTCATCATTTGTCAATGATAATACACTTCCACAATCAACACTTGAATTTAACCAATGGAAATTTCCAATTGTTAAACTAGTCTTCTTTTTGCCGGAATAATAATAATTATAATCACTTAAAACGTCTCCATTGGATATGCCACCAAAACTATCTCTTCCAATGAATAGATCTTTGATTTTGATATTTAACTTATCCTTGTAAATATTTCTATTTTCAATTAAAGACGGTTGATTCCAATTTAATATTGTATGTTTAAGATCATGCTTCAATCCCAGATGAATTATTTACCTTGAATTCTGATACTTCATAAAACCATCTATGTCTCTCATCTCTATAGATATAATCATGAATTGCATACCTTGGATGAGAAATCATAAATATAGTAAAATCTGAAGTTTTATCATTTGGATTTGGCATAAATTTAAACGTATAAGTGATATAGTCCACATATCTTTTCTGTTTAACAGTACAAAATTCAAAATAATCCTTATCTATATCAAATTCATGATTCATGGTAGGTACGTATCTTTTAAAAGATAAGAATGGTCCATCATTTGACATATAAGGAGCAACTACATTAAAGATAGGAATACAAAATCCTTGTTGCATAAGCTTGTCAATTGTTCGATTATAACAACCTACTTTAAATGTTTCATATTTCTCACAAGCATCTTCAGAAAGAAATATTCTATATCCGTCAAACATGGCTCTATTTTTGAATATAATTGTTCGTTCATTGTTGTTCCTAATAGTTGTTGCTTCTATTGGATCTAGTAATGATCTAATTTTTGGTCTTGATTGAGGTTTGGTATCAATGGCATGTAAAGTATATGATGGTGGTGGTGGATCGGATTCCATGGTTAATTAATTGAGTAAAAGGAAATAATATAAAGATAGAGGGTGGGGGTTAAATTGTTTATTTATACTAGTGGATAGTCACCAAAATTGGCTGAGTCTAAAGTCATACTGACCGGTGCATAGCCATTTCCAACTACTTTGAATGATTTTATTAGGTAATCAATTTCCATAAACTGACGAGGTGCAACACTGGCTTTTTTGCTACCCTCGTAAATTAACTGCAATGACAACAAGTCGATTCGAATAAAAGAAACAAGTTTACAAATAATAGATAATTACATAATGGTATGATATTGTTTGAGTAGGAAAAATCTTCTAATGATATATCATTCAAGAAGTATAAAATTATTTGACTCTAAAACAAAAAAATCAACATACATTTACTATAAAAAAAAAAACTACAAATGAATACCCAACTATATTATTGGAACTGTAATATATTATCATTTATAATCTTTAAACCGTTTACTATTGAACATGGTCCAAGGCTGGTTCTAGTACTATCCATTATCTTTTTATTTCACCATACTTAAGACTTTTAATAATTGCACGAAAATCTTTGTCCCATTTCAATACTGATGCAATACAAATTATTACCAAATCATCTTCTTGTAAAGACAAAATACTTTCATATTCAATGCTTTTATCTAAACCTCGAGAATCAACAATTCTGACCCCAGAAAAACTAGGATAGTATCTTTCTAGTGTACCACATAATACCTCTGATGTAGTCCATCCATAGTATTCCGATATGGGATATCTACTAGATAGTGAAAATCTTCTACTCAAATGACCTTGTATGTATGGGTTTCTTTTTACACTATCCAAAATATTACTTTTACCATCCCAATTATCAGTAAGTGAAACTTGGTGTGGTTGTAATACAGTGTGCCTAAACCCATATCTTAACCCCTGCTGTTGGTTAAATGATTCCAGTAATGTTTCTTCAACCCATCTATGTTTCACTCCTTTGTAAATATAATCACTTATGGGCAAAATTGTATGAGAAAATACATAAACCCGAAATTTGGTACGAGCATCATTTGGATCAGGTTTGAACTTCAAAATATGAGTAGTATAAGCAGAATATCTAATTTGACTAACAGTACAATAATCATAGAAGTCTTTATCTGTATCAAAAGGATGGTTATCTGTGGGAGTAAATTTCTTAAAAGTTAAAACGGGATCTGTATCTTTATCAAGTGGAGCAATAACTTTAAATAAAGGAATAGCAAAACCTTGTTGTTGAATGTATGTTACTTCATCACTGGAATTACTTTTGAACTTGTTGAATTTATCAAATGCATCTTCAGAAATAAATACACGGAAACCATCATGTGCTCTTCTTTTTTTCATAACTACTGTCCATCCTGGAATTCCGTGACTAACAACATACTGTGGTTGAACATATTGGCTTGGAGAAATGAGTGCCCTTATTTTAGGACTGCTTTTATCAAATAATTTTTCTGTGTATGCTGGTGGTGGTAGATCTGTAGGAATATCCATAATAAGTTTGTAGTTAATAAAAATTAAAATAAAATTAAAAAGCACCTATTATGTAGTCCAATGTTATATATATATTAGAGAGGTGAGTAGATGTCATTCCCCGCAAGACATTGTGTATGATGCTTACTTTGCCATGTTGAATATCTATTAGTTTAGTAATCTGATAAATCAGATGAGCATCATGTGTAGTTGTTCTAAAATTATCAATACGGAGATACTGAACACATAATCAATAAACTTGTAATTTCATTACGACAATCAAAAGCAAAAAAAAAAAGAAATAAAAAATTCATCACCAATAGAAAACTAAAATACTTACTAAGCAATCCAAATTTAGAACAAGTTTATATAATCATTTTCTGGACCACTTGAGATGAACATGGGGTTTATCATCCCCTCGGTTTTTCAAATACAAGTAATCTGCATTCTAACTAGTTTTTGTGCTGTAAAAAGTAGTTGCGAATAAGGAAAACTATTAAAAATTAATACATGTCATTAACTACACAGAAACTTATAAACTGATCATATTTACTCATGATCACTCCCCCAAATCCAGATCTGACAGTGAATAATAGTATTTTGTGTGTTTGGACCTGTGATTATGGTATGTTGTTTCTTGTGTTCTTACTATTTCAGCATCTTTTTCCCAGTTCAATACTGTTCCAATACATATTGTTACCAAAACTTCTTCAGAAAGTGATATTGTACTCTCATAGTTAGTATCAACGTTTTGGGTCAGTCTGTCAATAATTTTAATACCAGAAAACCCTGGTTGAATAGATTTCAAAGTTTCACATAATATTGCTGATGGTGATTCACCGTAGTATTCTTCTTTTGGTAATCTATAAGACCATGAAAATCGTTTTTTAAAGTATCCTGAGAGATATGGATTTTTACTTTTAGTTCTCAATTCTTTACTCTCTCCATCCCAATTATCAGTTAAAGAAACTTGATTTGATTTTAGAACTGTATTTTTAAATCCATATCTCATTACTCCTTGTTTCTTGAATTCATCCAGAAGAGTTTGTTCTATCCATCTTCTTCTTTCCCCTTTATATATATAATCACTTATAGGTAACCTTGAATGAGAAAACATAAATACTTTAAAATCCAACCCTGGATCAGTTGGATCAGGAGTGAATTCAAAAACAAAACATGTATATCCAATGTGAGTTGTTTTACTAACTTTGCAAAATTCATAAAAATCCTTGTTTTCATCAAATGGCCAGAAATTAGTAGGAAAATATCTTTTGAATGATAAATAATAATAAGGAAAAATATCTTCTTTTATAGAATTCAACTTTAATAAAGGAACTCCAAATCCATTTTGTTGAAATTTAATTGAATCCATAGTTGGATTATGTTTATAAAAATTGTATTTAACATAAGCGTCTTCAGATAAAAATACTGAAAAACCTGTTTTTACTGACTTTTTCTTGATAATAACTGTCCAACCATTATCCAGATATGAGTTAAGGTATGATGCGTGATAATTAGGTATTGGAAGAAGAGATTTAATTCTAGAAGTCGATTGTTTATCCAAAGTTCTTGGTTCGTATAAAGAAGGATGAAGATCTAAATTCATTATTTGATATTATCATTATTCAAAACTAAAATAGTTGTGAAATTACAGGCCTCTTTTATAGTGGATGCTTTACAATCTTGAATCACAGTTGTACTGTCCACACTAGCACACACACACACACACACACACAGACCGGAAAATTTAGGAATTAATGACATTTTGATTTATGTAATCTATTTTGTTCGAATCTCTTTTAAATTTGAGAGACAATTAGGACCGCATTTTATTTTCATTTATAGTTGTTATGATTATGCGGTGGACGATTTCGTAAATCGAGTTTCTAAAATCAAGAACAAAAATAAACAAGAAATCATAGCATTAAATTCTATATATAACTAAATGATTACAAATCATTGGTACAGCTCAGTGAATTAGCGGGGACGATTTAACCAAATTGAACATTTGAATGACGGTATGTTATACTAATCTGTCGTTAAGCACAATAACACAACATTCACCTACAATTTTGTGTTGCTTTGGCAGCCATTTCTATTTTTCTTTTGATATCTTTTTGTCTTTTCAACGTTGTTGCCATGCAAATCATCACTAATTCTTCCTCATCCACTGAAAAAATAGTTTCGTAATTAACATCATCTCTTCTATTATTAACATCTCCAATTCTGACCTCATTGGATGTTGTTGTCACCGTTGGTTGAACAATTCTATGTATGCGAGAAAAATTTCTACCATAATATTCTGGTTTTAAATTTCCCTGACCACCAATGTTTGTAGAACCTAAAGGCAATGACGAATATCTATCAAAATCATCTGAGAGATATGGATTTACAATCTCTCTACTCAATACGTCACCCATTCCATCCCAATTATCAGTTAATGAAACTTGATGGGGACTCAAAATTGTATGTCTAAACCCACCGGTAAATCCTTCCTGTTTTGTATTTGAAGACAATAATGACGACTCATCGATCCACCTATGTTTCCTTCCTCTGAAAAAATAATCGCTAATTGGAAGAATAGAATGGGAAAACATCACAACACGAAAATTTAACCATGGCATTGTAGGATCAGGAACAAACTCAAAAATATAACTATCATAACCAAGATGACTTGTTTTTGCAACTGAACAATAATCATACATATCACTATTTTCTTCAAATGCATGCAAATTACTTGGAATATATCTTCTGAATGTTAGGAACTTCTTACTAAATGGGACAAAAGATCTAACCACTTTAAACAAAGGAACACCGTAACCTTGCTGTTGTAGTGCAAGGTTTTCTCTATTTTTATTCTTCTTGAATGCTTTGTACTTTTTTGCAGCATCGTCAGAAACAAAAATTCGATATCCATCAATCAACAATCTATTCTTGATAACAATTGACCATCCCGAATTCTTTCTAGTCTGTGCATAGCTAGGTAGTTCTTGATGTCTGATTGTAGAAAAATCAGGTGGCGCCTCCTCTGCATTTATGGTATTCAGGGGGGTATAGTTTGGAGGCAAATTAATTACTTCCATTTTTGTTTCAATTGATGAAGTGTAACTTTGTAAGAAGAATGATGATTCTAATTTTAAAATTGTGGAACCTTCCTGTGGTTTATATATATATATAATCAATCAATTGAATCCAAGAGATAGGGTACAAGAAACTCCTTTGGACCATGACCCTGCATAGCCGTGCACGATCTTATCTTAAATAGCATATGAAAAGGAGGGGAAATTTTAAACTAAGGTTTGTGCGTGTGAATTGTGATGATTAGATAAGCACAGCTGTAACACCTCGGATTCGTGGCGGTGAACAGGAAAATTACGGATCTGTCTTCTAGCTTTTTTTTTAGAATAATCGTAAATTGATACGTAAATCGTAGAGAGATGGTTAATAAGACTACACATGACTGAATTCTAAGCCTCGAATATTTTATCATTCTAATATAAAGCAGTTGCGGCACCATCGCCACGAGGATCGCTACCAGCAGCATAGATCAATTGACCGTTTTGAGAAACGTTTTTTATGATCTGTGCTCTACCAAATGTACCTCTTGCATATCCATGAAGTACTTTAACAGTATGTCCAATCTGTTTCAATGACTCAACCACTTCCGGATCAATTCCTTCTTCAAGTTGTACAATTGTGATTGGTGTATGAACAGGTCCCTCGGCACCACGACCTCTATCAGTCGAATTATCATCATCGGAATTCAATACAAAGCGTGGTGCATCAATCAGTTCTTGTGGTGTCATACCAAAAACCGTCATGTTTAATACATGTTGTACGTGACAAACTGGTTGAGCAAAACCGCCCATGTTACCAAATCCCGCATAAAGTGAACCATCAGGATTAGTAATCATACCGGGGATGATTGTATGATATGGTCTTTTCCCTCCTTCCAAACAATTGGAACGACCTGGTGTTAAATTGAAATTACATCCTCTACTTTGGAGACAGAACCCATAATCTTCAACTAAAATTCCTGAACCAAATCCTTCATATACCGAATTGATAAATGAGCACACTTCCCCATTTGAATCACTAACAGTTAGATACACAGTATCGGATTTAAACTTGGGATCTGGAACACCGTGTGACATTGTATCACTATCAATGATTTTCGACTTATCTATAAGTTCAGATCTAGATTTCAAATATTTGGAACTGAGCAATCCATCTATGGGAATATCTTTAAATTTGGGATCAGTTACATATTCATCAGAATCATAAAACCCAAGTTTACATGCTTCAATTAGAATATGTAAATATTCTGCAGAATTATGTTTCAATTCATACAAGTTGATTTTCCCCAGGCTGTGTAGTTCTTGAATTATTCCCAAGGCAAGCAATGCTACTAAACCATGTCCATTTGGTGGAATTTCCCAAACATTGTAATTCTGAAAATTGAGTTTTATTGGATCAACAACAGTCGATGTATGATTCTTAAAATCATCCAATGTAAACTTGTGATTTCTAGAATTTGTTGTCTTCAAAATGGCTTCAGCAATTGGTCCTTCATAAAATGCATTCTTTCCCTTTTTACCAATTAATTTTAAACAATTAGAAATGGGTATGTTTTTCACAAATTCTCCTTCGTTAGGACCTCTTTCGCCATTTATAACATATGGATTCTCCTTGACGTCAACATTTTGTCTGATCAACTTTTTAGTACATCCTCTCCACATATGGCTTGCGATTTCAGAAACAGGAAAACCTTCCTCTGCTAGTTTAATCGCAGGTTGTAAAATTTCTTCAAAGCTGACATTTCCAGATCCCCATTTCTCATAGGCATCATACCACGCGGCAATTGCACCAGGAACAGTAACAGAAAATACTGAGTCATATGGGATTCTATTCATTGGTTTTCCATTATTGTGTTCATTCCAAACATCTTGTGGGGTTACGTTTTGTGCTGCTCTTCCAGAACCGTTCAACCCTAAAACTTGACCACTTTTGGGGTCTGACTTATCTTGCAATTTGTAGTATAAAACAAAACAATCACCTCCAATACCTGTTGATCCTGGTTCAGTTATTGTCAATGCGGCAGATACTGCAATTGCAGCATCAACACAATTTCCACCTTTTTCCAAAATTGATACACCAGCATGGTTTGCTAATGGTTGAGTTGATGCAACGATTCCTTTACTTGAGTAAACAGTCGACCTCCTCGAAGAATATTTCATAAATTGACTGGCCATGGTAGCTGATTTGGAAATTTTATTCATTGTAATTGTTTGTGGATAGTGGATGGTTTAAATATTCAAGTTTCAAACGGCTCATATCTTTTTGAAAATTAAATTGACCCGCGCGGAAATGCGGAGAATATTTCCTAATTAGGCTATTGGGGTATACCTTATTGTTCTAAAAAATATAGATCGTTCCGAATACAACAATGTCAATTGGGAGGAAGACATCTGTTCCTCATACACAGGTAATATAAAATACAGGTTTGACAGAAATTGGTTATCGGGAACCAAAATAGCCGAGGGAGGATTTGCGTTTTTGATCCAACAAAATCAGACAAAATATAGTTTGGTGAAATAAATTGTAGCAATACATCGTTAAAGAAATGTATTTCCTAAAGGTTTTTCTGGGGCTAAGGATATTGCAAGTCAATTAGTGGTTTTCGATGGTATATATCTACGTGACTCTTCGGCCATGTACAGTCGTTGCAGTTTTATTTCGCACTAGTCCGAGCATAATTTTCAGATCAATGAGTCAAAACTATTCGCACTATTTGCAAAGAAAAGTTCCTATTAAGGCGGTCAATACTTTTGATACATAATGTGCAAAAAAAATGTTCATACTAAGTGACCTCTATTTATTCTTACTAAAAACGTATGATACATGATACAAACTAATAAGGGCAAGTTAGTTTGAACGTGGACTTTTTCCATTACTGAGAACATTTTGAATCCAATTACAATGAACGGTTATTATCGCATACTATGGAAAAAGTTTCTTGTACTGGTACTAATAATTTCTTTGAGCTCGGTATGAGCAAGATATAAGAACACTGTCCATTAGTTAAGTCTTGCTCTCATAGGTGATAGGGTGTATATCGTCAGATTCTTATTCTTCTTCTCCGTGTTTAATTACACTAGTTTCATGTAGTACTTTATTTGCAAACCCTCTTTTATATTACACATTCATTCAATAAAACGTAGCAAACCTGTAAACAAATGGAATGCTATCTTATAATAGCTTTTTCATTCGGGATTTGTGATTATTCAGCTTGTCCTACAGTAGTTGCCAAACTGTTGTAATCATGTGACATTTTGAGTGTTCTGGGTGTCGTAGTGATAGATTCTAATTGTGATTTGGAACTTACTGGGGTTTATGTATTTCAATTAAAACAATCTTTTGCCAGTTTAACTAATGCTATTGTTACTAAGAATGGTTCATTTTACTTGTGTGGTCAAACATGGCCTATCCCAGATATCACTGCTTGTTTGGAAGATATTGTCCGTAACGAAACCAAGAATAGACTTGAAGAAATTAAAGTTGTCACTAAGAGAAGACTGCAAAATGTAGTATTATACAAAGTTAGACAGTATCACTCCTTTGGTGATTAATCAAGACTGAACAAAGTAAATTATTTCTTCTCGAGATTTGAATTTTAAACCCCAAAACAAATGTTAGTGGTGATTACATTGGAAGATTCACCTGATAAACTTCGTTCCATAGATGAAAATCTAAGAAATAATAGGGAATATATTACCAAAAAAAAATAAATATTTTTATATTAACTGTTTCTATATAAAAACAACCGAAAAAGAATAAAATATACGAATAAAGAAAGTCAAAATCGAACTCAAAATATAGGGTGTGCAAACCAATAGCACCGAAAAACAAATCTATCAATAACGTATCCACAAGAAATCAAAAATAAACGAATTTTAATAGAAAGAGATGCATTTCAATCTTACTGTGCGTTATATCCCAAAGATTGAAAAGCAATAACCATACACTGGTGTGTGAAATAAATTAACTAAGAAATAGATCTCTCGAAATCAGAAAAACGAGATGACAGCAGATAATAACAACCCAAATACCAATGAACCCCCAGTAGAGTACTTCATACCTCTATTCTCAGCTGGTAATACAATTCCTGGATATGATGAGGATGAAGCTTGGGTGGCATAACTTGAGGTAATCAGGGAAGCAGCAGGAACAATGAAGGAAGTTGTCATTGTTGAACCTGAAACATTTGGTCCATCCGATATGTTACTTGATCCATTGGATTCAGATCCATCATTGCTAGAACCAGAGCCAGAAACACCATTGTTAGAACCGTTGTATTCGGATTCAGATTCACCGTTGTTAGCACCATTGGATTCATCACCGTTGTCAGAACCACCGTTGTTAGAACCACCGTTGTTAGAACCACTGGATTCAGATTCAGATTCACCGTTGTTAGAACCACCGTTGTTAGAACCACTGGTGTTAGAACCGTTGGTTTAATCACCGTTGTCAGAACCGCCGTTGTTAGAACCATTGGATTCAGATTCAGATTCACCGTTGTCAGAACCACCGTTGTTAGAACCATTGGATTCATCACCGTTGTCAGAACCACCGTTGTTAGAACCATTGGCTTCATCACCGTTGTCAGAACCACCGTTGTTAGAACCATTGGATTCATCACCGTTGTTAGAACCACTGGATTCATCACCGTTGTCAGAACCACCGTTGTTAGAACCATTGGATTCATCACCGTTGTCAGAACCACCGTTGTTAGAACCATTGGCTTCATCACCGTTGTCAGAACCACCGTTGTTAGAACCATTGGATTCATCACCGTTGTTAGAACCACTGGATTCATCACCGTTGTCAGAACCACCGTTGTTAGAACCATTGGATTCATCACCGTTGTCAGAACCACCGTTGTTAGAACCATTGGCTTCATCACCGTTGTCAGAACCACCGTTGTTAGAACCATTGGATTCATCACCGTTGTTAGAACCGTTGGATTCATCACCGTTGTCAGAACCACCGTTGTCAGAACCACTGGATTCAGATTCAGATTCACCGTTGTTAGAACCATTGGATTCAGATTCAGATTCACCGTTGTTAGAACCACCGTTGTTAGAACCATTGGATTCAGATTCAGATTCACCGTTGTTAGAACCACCGTTGTTAGAACCGTTGGATTCATCACCGTTGTCAGAACCACCGTTGTTAGAACCACTGGATTCATCACCGTTGTCAGAACCACCGTTGTTAGAACCATTGGCTTCATCACCGTTGTTAGAACCGTTGGATTCATCACCAGTTGCTTCCGAGTTGGAACCAGTGGTTGTAATACTTGAAACTGTTGTGTCATCGGTACTGTAAGTATAAGTGCTAACAATGTTACCTTCTTGGATAGAAGGCTGGTCAATAGCGCTATTCGCATCGATAGAAGATGCAATATTGTTGTCAGAATTAACAGCAGTTGAGACCCCAGTGGTAGTAGCAACTTCTGCGTCGAGACTTGTAGACATTGTATTAGCCCCTTGACCGTTGGAAGTAGCAAGCTCTTCTTGTGAATTCTTTGGCCCCTCAATACTTTCGGCATCAAGAGTGGTAA